GATTTCGTTTTTAAAAGTTCCTTATATTAAGGTTCGAAGCGAGATGTGCCTATTTTACGGAACAAGGCTAAATGCTTTTCTGTTAGTCCACTTCTGAAATGATTCTTTCTAAGGTTCAAAGTTGAAAACTCTTGTTCACATATATAAGATTAAGCAAACATAGAGCTGATTTTCTGGGCATGAAATATTAAATTTTGGAAACTAGCTTTTGGTAATGATTTGTAAAACTTTGGCATATTTAGAAACAACTGCTTCAGATGATTGTTAGATTGTCCGCTCGTTGGATCTTAAAATGCGCAGTCTGCCAAATGTGAAGTACAATTTACCTATATTAGATTCCTCGAGAAAGACAAACGCTAGTTAGAGCCAATCTAATGCTATTCTATAAAGAACTTCTGCTTGCAACATTTTACCAATTGACGCTGTCTGTGCTAACTATTTCCATCAATTTATGTTTTGTAGAACAAAAATAGAGAAAATAAAAAGGTCATTAGTACTTTGTTAAACGAGGAAAAATAGAAATAATTTTAAATAGTTGACAAGAAAATGGATGCATATTGTTTATATTTGCCACTGATCGGCAAATTAAAATTCTACCCGCGGGCCGGATAAAACCTTCCGGCGGGCCACAGTTGCCCCGCGGGCCGTAGTTTCCCCATCCCTGGTCTAGAATGTGGCATTGTAAAAATTATTACTTAAACATTATCAGTTAAACTAGACAGAGTTTAATAGAATTATAATATACATTTTAGAGAACTTTTAGAATTAAAAAATATAAATTACAAATTTTAAAAAACGCATAAAAATTCTAGTTTTTACTAATCATAAAACTTTATCTTTTGTATAAATATGCTAATTCAAAAAACATAATAAAACCACAGAAATTTTAAAATCCTGAATAAATTTTTTTTCTTCTATTTTTCAAAATTGCATTGAGTTAAGTCTATGGTGAGTGCAAGCACACCATAGACTTAATTCACTTCAAGTTTACTTTAGCAAAGTCTAGTGGTTTATTATTTGCATATTTTTGAATTGATATTTTAAATATTTTTTTAAAAATAAATACTTACAAAAGTTCTAATATATCATTAAGACAATTAAAACAGTGTTATGGCTTAAGGCAGATTTAGGCAGATACACCAAAAAATTTTCTTACTATAAATGTTTTGTTCTTAAATAAATTAATTATAATTATAATATTACTTGTTGTCAAATAAGTATAAATAGTTTAATATACAGTTATAAACTTAATGTTTGAGCTTAGGTTATAAGTGTATCTATGTATTATGCACTCACCATCAAGATACAAATGTTCTTGAATTATATTTTGTAAAACATTGTGTTTCTTATCCTGAAGATGTCTTTTCAGAAAATTGTAAGTATCTCTGGACATCCTTACAGTGAATTGTCCTGATCTGAAACAATTAACACAAATACAACTATAAACCATGTAGCTACACTTAATTTATTAATTTACCATTCCTCAAAAACCACCTCAGGAGGTCTGAGGATTACATGTTAATGAATGGCTAAAAAAAAACTTTATTACCGATATAATTTTTTAATTCTGATTTATTACATTCTTAATATAAAAATGTAGTTATTTTTCCTCTTAAACCAGTAATTTTGCGGTTTCAAATTCATCCACGTAACAATATTTTGAAACTACAGATGAAATTTTGAAAGGGCACTCACTTAACATCGTAAAAATTTATCAAAATGCATAATATTATGTAATAACTGAATTTTATCCTCAACACTTTTTAAATAACCCTCTTATAATATTTTATGTGCAAATTTCAAACTCATTATCAAACTAACACTCTCATTATCAAAATGATGAGACTCTCACTCACTATCAAAATAAGAGAAGAATTTGAAGTTTATAAGAATTAATTAAAGTAAATTTTTAAAAAAATGATTAATTGATAAACAAATTGAAAGCTTTTTACTATAATTTAAACTTAAAATTATGGGAACATAAACACTAATAGGTGCATTTAAAAAAAAAAAAAAAAAAAAGAGGTACGTATTTAAAAAATAAATTTAAAATAACTTATAAAATTAATTAATATACTCCTACCCCACCCCGAAAAGAGATACTTATAAAAATTTAACCAGTTGAGAATAATCTTAACAAAGTAAATATTTTTAATAACAATCAGAATTAAACCTATAAACACAGATAATTTTACCAGTGTGTAATTATTATTTAAACAGTGAATTAATTTCTTCCAAAATGGGCATGAATAAAAAGGTTGCTTTTTTAGGGAATGGTGGCTTATTTTTACAAAAGAGGGCGCAAAGAGAGCACATTTATTGGGATCAAAGGGCAAGGAGGGCAGCCGTGCTTCTAAGAATGTTCAGGGAGAACACTACTATTAATACAAGAAACATCCCTTTCAATAAAATAAAAAATTTCTATAATTTTTCTTTCTTTTTTTTTTACTTAATGTTTGGTTTATTTTTGTCTACAAACCCAAAATGAAATGATAACACACACTGTTGTGTCACACTAGTTCTACAACTGTGATTATAATAAAAAGAAAAGATACACACAATTGTGAACAGAACAACTATTAAACAAGGTAACTTTACTCAGAATAAAAAAATTTCATAGTTTTGACATCGACTTCTGATATGTTGAGCTAAGAATACAAGTTGGAATCTAGAATTATCTTTTCAGTAATGTTAACAAATTTGTATGTTTATAATTAAATAATTATTGGGAAATTTATAGAATATGTAATAATTCAAATAAAAAGAAATATGGGTTAGTCATTGATAATATTAAGTATTGAAAAGAAATTTAATAGCAATGATATCTACATCGAACCATAAATATGCTACGCTTTGAGTATAAGTTTAAATTTAGAATAATCTCTTCAGTAATGTCTTATCTTATATTTTTAATTAAATTGATATCAGGAAATATAAATTATAAGAAATGTTTTAATTAAAAAAATATATATTAGGTATAGATTATGTATTCACCTAAAATTATCCATGAATTCGTTCCCCTTCATGTGATCCTTTTTAGTCAAACACGATAGTTTTTTTACATCTTCTAAATAATATTCTTCTTGTTCAGGTCCAAATCTGTCCATAAAATATAGAGCTGAAATGAAAATAGAGATTTAAAAAGTAATTATTAGTTACTATCTACCAGTAAAAAAATTAGGAATAATTTAATAAAACTTACAGAAAATAAACACTAAATAATGATTATTGAATAAACATTTGCAATCTTAATGAGTGTCAACTGATGTTTTAACTTGTGTTAAATAAAATAACTGATGAAATAATATTTCTGAAGACGGATAATTAAAAAAAATTAGCACTCACAAAAAGGTAGTTCAAAACACATAACATAAAATTGGACCTTAAAAATAAATTATAACTTCGCGACATCATTGAAAAATATATTCATATTATTACATTATTTTACATAAAAAATGGAAATGAAAACGTAAAAGAAAAAAAATTAGATTTAAAAGAAACTATATCAAGATTGAAAACTTTCCTGTTCAATTCTCCTCAACTACAATTAAACTAACAGTAAACTAATTTTCAAATGCAATTTTTTTTAATCCAAAATATCAAACTACCAGCCAATTATGAGAGAATTATTTCTACTCACTATAAAAGCTGCTAATCTTGACATTACTATGCAAATTGATATTTTGAAGGAAAAAGATCAGCATTTGAAACTCCACCCCCCCTCTCCAGTATAAATTTTAAGTTACGAATTAATTGAAAGATAATTTGTTAGGAAGTTGCCTTGTAAAGGGTAAAGAAAAAGTCAGAAATTCTTTTAACAAATTTAGGGCAAATTTTGAAACAGTATACATATACCAGACCCCTTTTGAAAAATGTAAATAAACTAAAAAACAATTCTCTATAAGTATATTAAAGATAAATTTTATCCCGATAAATAATAAAATATATTATTCTGATTTTCAGGATTATTTTGTTTATAAAAAAAAGTTTTAACATTTACAAATATCCCACATAACTTCATTAATGGTACACTGAACTATTTGTAATCGAGATTAATATATTGTAATTTTTTACAGCACTGTTGCATTAAAAGTTAACATCTCATCATATTTAATTAACCAAATTAGTTAATATCACCTCATACAAGTATTTAAGAAAAGTTTCCAATCAAATGCAAACTTCCTTATTCAAATGGTTTCAATCTACAGTTTCAATAATCTCGAAATGAAAATACAGCAAAATGCTGCTTAACATTTTATACCATAGTAATAAGTGAATGATCCTTCAACTCACCATTTCATTGTTCTATCTGATTACTGCATCAGTAATTGGAATCGATTATTCTTTTAAAAGAATTAAAGGGACCAATCTATAATTGTGAAATTACAAAATTTTACCCAGCAAGGTTTGTTATGGCATTTGCTAAAAAATTAAATAATGGTAAGAACCCCGAATTCATTACAGGACAATTTGATAATGTAATATTATTAATAGAGTTTCTTTATCATAAAATAACTGCTATATGTCCGCATGATATTAACTAGCATTATAAAAAATATAAAAATATGTTTGGATTGAAAATCCAAACCTTTTAGTTATTCAAATAGATTAGTTTAAAATTTGCGTTTGTACATGTAAAATACACACAGCAATCAATAATATAAGAACAAAAGGCTAAAAACTCAAAAGGCAAAATATTTTTTATCAAAAAATCAGGTATCAATAGTGGGTGAATCTTTCAAATGTTACTTATTCTCTAAGATATTAAAAAATAGACAGATTTTTAGCTAATATCTATACATAATAGCTTACCTTGAGATTCGTGCTCATTGTAGACAAGTTCTAAATACATATGAACAAAAACTGGATAAAGTATCATAGACAATTCATGCTAAAAATAAAACAAGGCATGAATTATACGTATACTGCCCTTAAACTGAATAAATCATATATTCAAATTACGTAAAACTGAAATTGATTAAAAAATGATTAAAATCACTACAAAAAAAATTAAATACAAGATTAAGTACAAAAAAATATAAGTTTTAAGAGCTTGAAGCAGCAAAACTGCACCAAACTTATAAAACAATACATGCTCAAGTAAAAAGGCAAAAAGTAAAAAAGCAAACAAACAAATCAGAAGAGCATAAGATTACAATTTCTTTTGCTTGTTACTTAGGATTGTCTTCAAAATAATTATCCATAGAACAATTTTCTCAGAATTGAAGAATCAACTTCAGATTTTGTGAACATTCAAAATATTTTTATTTTTAAATAAAATTAATAATAAGGATGTTTAAGACAGAATGTGATGCAAAAAATGCTGTTCTCCAAATTAATAAATAACACAAATTTTAAGAATCTTCTGATTGGATGTTATGTTAAGGAAAATCTTACTTTTATTTAATTTAAAATAAAATATTGGCTACAATTCTCAACATGCCTAGATATATTACATGCATAAATGATAGATTATTTACCCTGTATGTATCCAAAGATGTTTCAATGAATTTCTTCAAACTTATATAAGTGTCTTCATAAATGTCTGGATCCCCTTCACTAAAAGAGTATAAGTATGTATAGAAGCAGATAAATCTGCAATATTATTTACTACATTTTCTTATCAAAATTATTGCGAATTCTTTTTATGGTTTACATTCGCAAATGCTCCACAATTTTTATGCTTTGAAACTCTTGATCAGTTGAGGGTATATCCTTTGATATGTTTTGCACATCTTACTCGTTTTCATCACTATCATCGGGAGCAGACATTAAATTGGATATGGAAGGAATTTTATTTTATTTTATAACCGTTGAACAGCCGACCCAATTTTTGGGTTTACGACTACTAATGTTCAACTCTGTAGAATTGTAATTTTGAACCAATCCAGAAGACAAGGAAACTCCTGGATCAGTACCCCCAGAGGTATTGATTTGTTATGGGAACATGGAAGACTTTGTGACTCTACAGATTTAACGTGCATCAGTCATCATTTACTACACGGGGAGTCTGAGGCCGGCTGGGATCAAAGCCACGAACACTTGTAAATGGGACCAGTGCCCTACCAACCAGGTTTGGTGCAGCAGTCGATATACATGTCATCGACTTCCAAAGATTTTCTGACACGCAATTTTTTCTCCGAAGGGCCAATGTTCTTATTGGATACTGAGAAGCAGTTTACCTCATGAAACTTTATTAAACCTAATTGTACTGCATTTTAGTTGCCAATGAGGTGAGGCAGAAATCAAATTGAGAGCTTCCAAATATTTATTTTTGATTTAGAAGCATCTTGAAGGTCACCAGAATCAAGAAAAAGAAATTATAACCTAACCATTTGCCTAGAGTTATGTTTTTTAAATAATTGGATAATTGAAAGATTTAATTGGATAAGAAAATTCCACTCGCAAATTTTAGAATCTAAGCTCCCATACCTTTAACCATTCTTACTGTGTTCTGTCCACCCCACCAACCTTTTGATTTTAACTCAATTGGGAAATCCCCTCTCACAGACAAAAGGACAATAACTTCGGCTAACTAAACAAGATAGAATAGAAAGAATGTCAGAAAAGCTATAAATAGTTAATAAATGTCTCTTTAAAAAAAAAAAAAAAAAGGTTTGTGCAATCTTTGTAGTAAAAAAATGATTTTGATCTGTTAGAAAAATGAATAAAGTGGGATTTTCTTAAAAAGGGTTACATAAAATCCAATTACTTTAACATTATCAGTACAGGCAATTTCCGTGTGCCAGCAGAAAATGATGTAGGAAGTAGGATAACATACGAAATGGATAACCTAAAATTGGGGTCCCACTATACAGAAATTTTATTTAGGTATAATTATCCAAGATTAAAAACAATAAAGGATTTACATAAGAGAATTGAAGTGTAAAAAGTTGTCTCAAAAAACAAACGATAGCTTTTTTAAAAAAGGAAAAGCAAATAAATGTATACCTTTTGTACGTAGACAAAACACTGCTCACATCAGATTCACTTTGTGCTGACTCTGAGGCTTTATCATCATCAGTTATCTTAGTTTCTTTTCTTAAAATGGCCTCAGTTTCCTGTAAAAAAATTTAATTAAAAATCAACAAAACTTTGTTTTATTGATAATTGGTTTAGGTATTACAGTAAAAAAATAAAAGTTAAAAAAAGTTTAACAGCTACATTTTTGAAAAAATAGAACGAAAGACAAAATAATTCAGTTAATAGATTTGCCGTAGTAAGTTGTTTTTAGAAGAGCCAACTGAACAAAAAAGCTTCTAAATCAATTTCAAATAATTAATTGTCATCAATATTTTGATTTGGGATTACAGATACAATTGATAAGAATTCATTGCTTTATATAATAATATGAACAACTAAGAGAAAACTTTAAGAGGAACATATATAAATTATTTTTATTAATTACTTCTTATATTATTAGCTAATTTATTGCCTGTGGTAGCTAGCAGGTCAACTTTCCAGAAGTTTACCACTTCCCAGTTCCACTTGGACACCACCGCCTTCCTCCTCTTTAGCACAGTAACCGTTCTAATATAATCAGTCAATATATGTCAAGTCTAATTTAATATCTTATAAATACAATCCTATTTTAATGTCCTTTATAAAGTTATTTTCAATACATTGCAATATAGCATTTGAGATCATGATTAGCAGTCACTGTTTGTTACATGGCAACTAAAAATAAAATGTTATTTATATTATTCCTACCCTAAAAATAAATAATTTTAAAATTTCTGATCTGTTTTAAGAATATGGTATATTTCTTTCTTTCGTTTTTTTTCAATTCAAATTACTGTTTTACTAAACATAACCTTTATAATTTTTTTCTAGTCATGTGGCTTTTATAATTTTTTTTATTTAAATACAAAATGAAAAGATTTCTTTTAGTGTTAAAAATCACACTTTTATTGTTATGACATTGGATTAGGACTACATAGCTAAATATAATTGATTGTTAAATGTATTTAGATTGTTAAATGTATTGTTACCTTGAATTCTGCATTTTTTATTATATCGGTGGATTGTTTAGAAAATATGTCCACCACCACAACATTATTTTAGAAATAAATAAAACATATTTGAAGAAACAAACATCAAACACAATTAAAAAAATTTATAGGACAATATAAAACTGCATAGTAAATCCATTTCCATTAAGAGCAAATTATGTACATAATTTCTTACTTAAATTTACAAATTAATAATTAAAAAAAAAAACGATAAAGATAGATTTTAGATAAGATGATTCATAAAATTTACAAATTAATAATTAAAAAAAAAGCAATAAAGATAGATTTTAAATAAGTTGCTCCATAAAATATGTTTAAGTAGGAGGGAATGAGAGGAAGTTTGTGAAAAACAAAAATAAGCAAAAGCAGTGAAATGAGGGAAGTTCGCAGAAATCATACTTCTATTTTGTGTACTATATAAAAATAAGTAAATTTTGAATTGTTCATCATAGTACTGTCCCAACTTAGCAATGCTAAAGATGAATGGGTTTAGAGCAGTTTTAGCACTTGGATGACAGATCTTTGAGAATGTCCAAAGAAGCTATTGACTTTTAATTGCAAATAACACTAAGTTCAAATAAAAGGATTTGAAGCAACTAATGCTGTGAGATTGTGTTAATTTGACACTGCCAGGTGCAACCGGCCAAATTTAAAACAATTTAAAAGAAGATTTATTGTTTTCTCTTAGTTAATAAGTAATGCACGAGTGAAGTTGTAAATAAAAATATTAAGTAATCAAAAAACATTCTGTTACCTAAAAACAAATAATTTTCAGCTAACACTTCATAATATAATTAACGTTAATAATTAGTAGTTATTATTTTATTAACATTTATTTAAAATGATAATTTTTAGGCTTAAATAGCAATTTAAAAGCTTACTTGTTGTTTAGTGCTACTTGAGGGGTTGTATACGTTTAATGTTAATGCGATAATTAGCTATTATATTAACTTTTATTTAAAATGATAACTTTCAGGTTTTAATAACAATTTAAAAGCTAATTCATTATCTAGTACATGTTTTTGATTATGCAACAAAAGTAGCCACTAGAAAAAAAAAGAGAAGCTACTAAAAAAATTGCTTCTACTGCCCAATGGTCACCAGGGAAATTTCCCAATCTTGATCATTATATAGTAGGTGTCTGATTTTTTATTCTTTTAATACCCTAGATCACTTTAAACATAAGTCTTAAAACATTAAGCATTCCCAAATATATATGTATAAATATTTGCATTGAGAAGAATTCATTTAATAAAAAGATATGCCAAAATTTTTGATATATCTATTCTCTAGCCTCTGCAAAATTCTGCTTGATATTCCTATGTTTTAAAAGGTGATTCATTTACTATCTTTATAATTTTATTTTGAAAAATTGCAATAAATATAAAAACATCCCAGAAAATTTTTTCTTACTATTTAAATTATTTTATAGCATTTATAAAAATTTAATTGAGTTTTATCAATTAAGAATAAAAATTTTATTTTGTAAAAGAGAGCAGCTTCAAACTATGACATTTGTCTTTGTTTGAATGGTAGAGGTTGTAATACCAAATGTTATCTTAATAACAAATACTTTACAAGACATTGGTTTTATGAAAGATATTTTTTGCCGGTTGCCTTAATGTTAAATGAACTTCTTTAAATTTTTTAGTCATAATCTGCAACAGAATAAACAATTTGTCTTTTTACTAAGTTGAAAATTTGTGAACAGAATTCTTATTTCGAATAGGGATTTTTTTAATCAAAATTATCTAATGAAATATGACAAAAATCACATAAATTAAAACTAAAATTAATAACACTCAAAGCAAAATTCCTAGAAAATAGTAGAAATTAATAATTTACCTGAAGATTATGTTTTTTTAGAAATTGCAAAACTGCTAAAATAGCATTCTTATTTAACTCTTCATGCTTCTCTTTAACATCTTCAGTTTTATCTTTTTTTACTGTAGAATCAATATTTGAAGATAAAACCTCTTTCTCTATGATTTCCATGTTTATTGAATCAGTTAATGGAGTTGTAACATCATTTTGAGGAGGTTCAACCTCCATCGGTTGACTTTCACCATTATTCATTCTTGACACCTACAAAGCAATAAAATTATTATTTAAAAAAAATAAAGTTCTAAAATAGCTAAAATTTGACGAATTTACTAAGACAGGAGCAAATACGGAAATTTTATCCATTATAATACTTGCTCATACTTCTGTTATCACTTTTCCTGTTTAAATAAGTAGTAGTTACTATTCACATTACTGTTGTTGTCAGGGCCCGATTTAGCTTAACAGGAGCTCGGAGCAAAAACTTCTTTGGGGGCCCCCCTCTGCTTCCCTTTTTCAGTAATGAAGAATCGAACTTTAAGGATGTATTTAAATTTTTCACCTCATTATAGATTCACCTCATAACAAGAAAATTGACTAGAACCTAAAATAGCTATAAAACCCCTCTCCCCTCCAATGGTCGTTCCCAATATCGTTCCGTCCATTTTATTGATTGACAATTCCATGTCCATCATACTGAATGCAGATTGTTAACTTTGGGATGTATCTGCGAAAAATTATATCCTTGCTGACATTAGGATGGAATTCAGCAAAATGTTTGCAATTACGATGGTTCAATTAAGCAAATTAGAAGCCCGTATTTTTGTAAACATATCGCATTTTGCGATATGTAAAAATACAAGCTTTGATTGGCCAAATTTATACATCGTAATTGTGAACATTTAGCTGAATTCCGAGCTAGAAAGCCATGGATTTACGAAATATAGATTTTTGTGTTCATACGATAGATTAATGAAGAAGTTAACATAAAACTGACGGATTTTACATTGTACTGATATTTTGTTTTAAAAAAGTTCATTAAAGAAGGAAATGTAAAATAAACTTTCTAATTAGGGGCCCGGGGCAATTGCCCCTAATGCTTCTGCCATAGTCAGGCTTTGGTTGTTGTTACTTATCTCCAAAGGTCTGACAGCGTCAGACTAGATCCATAAATCCGTTGACGAGTAAGAAATCAGAAACAAGGGGAGAAGAAGAGTAAATTTCTTCCCGAAGAAGTCCCAAGCAGCTTAAAATATATTCAGCAGAAGCCTGATGTTGGTGGCCTTTTGGGCAAAGAGGGCAGGATTTATTTACATTACTGAGATATAGTAACTGACAAACCTATTGCTATGAAGCCCATGAGACACTTCTGTTACTTAACAAAGCCTCTTAAAAAAGTAAAATTAACTACTCTGTTCTTACATTAATATTGATTTCTAAAATTATAAATTAAAATATATTCAGCACACATAGCTAAAATACTTTTTGACTATAAATTAGAAATAAAAAAATGACAAAGAATTTAAATACCTTTTAGAAAAAGAGGAAAATTTTGTTACAAATACTAAAAACTTAATTCTATTTAGATTAAAAGCAACACAGTGACTTTTTTTTTCGGTTGTACAATAAGTATAAATGCATACCAGCTTAATAAATGGTTAAAACAAGAAACTACTTACTTAAATATGTAAAATCACTTTGACATAAAACGCGTATGCCTTAAATTTATTCAAAGATCTGTAATGATCTTGTAGTAAATTATTTATTTGACTTATTTATTATGACTTATTTATTATTCCACAATTTGTTAAGAAACAAACAAACGTTTTTAATGATCCAATCAAAAACCTTCTGCTTTTTCTTTTTGTGTCATTGATGATCCACAGTTTTACCATTGCCAAAAGAAATATAAATATTCAATTTTTACTGATTTTTTTAGTTAATACCCTTTGAAAGCCAAATCTTCACACGAAAATATAAAACAATTGAACTATTTTTTGTTTTTAAATAATTTTAATGCTTCGATTGAATCTTCTTCAATGAACAGCTGATTGCAGAGTTTTAGAAGTTATCAAATTTAAAGAGGCGTGGCAACAAACAATGAATGTTTGAAATGTTAGGAATGTTTACACTTCGATGATTTATTTCCATTTCTTCTTATCTTTATAATTTTTCTTGCCTACGTATTTATGTACTGATATTAACATTTTCCCCAAGGATTTTCAACAGAGGCAGAGAATACTGCTTAATAATAAAACCCACTTCATTGCGTAGGTATTGTTATTGCACAATTATTTAGTCACTCCAGGTACTGTAATGAATAGTCAACCTATATTTGAATTTCGTAATTTTGTCGGCATTGTTTGTGTACATTAGTATGATTCCCTCTATTTAGCCCTATACAAATAATTTTAACAGCCATTAATGGTAAAATTTTATCAATTTCCACTAAAAATTTTCAGTGTTGTTAATAAACATTGTAATCAATATTTTCTGAAAAATATGTGTTTAATGAAAATTTTTGCTATTTATGTTTAGATTTCCTAAGGTCTTATATAAATTTTAGTAGTTGAATAGATCAACCAGCTAAGTTGCAGCTGCAATTGTGCTTTCTATTTAGTGAGTAAAAGGATGGTTTATTAATAAACGGATGAGATACTGTATGCAGACCAAACATATAAATATAAATACAAAAACATATTTTGTTATTATTAAGTGCATACATGAGTATATACTACTAATCATTGAAAAGCTATTTTCCTCCCAAGCGGTGATAGTTATGCCTTCTTAAGACACTTATACAATTACTTATGACTAAAAGATTAAGATAATTTGTCGAACATAATTTGGGTAATAACTAATCATGATTTAAAACCAAAACAACCAATTATGAAGACATAACAATGTTTATTGTCGTGACAGTGCAGTAGTATTATTGATGTGTGTGTGTTTGACTTTTAATATTGGCCATACAAATATGTAGAAAGTCAGTTTAGTACCATCTACATATGTAATGTACCATCTACATCTTGAAATTTTGACAGTTTGAGGCTAGAGTAGGGTGGGAGTATCAAGGAATGTGAGATCAGCCTTTTTTTTAATGAAATAAAAACATTGACTTTCATAATTTTTTCATTTTGTGTTTTTTTAAATTTTATTTTTTCCATTGTCTTTGTTTCGTATTTATGTCCATTCATATTTATTATGATTTTGTATTAAAAATTTAATGCTGTTTAAGAAAATTAGTCATTAGTCATAAAAATTTTCTAAGACATCTGAAAAAATAATTACTAAGCACAGTTCTACAGTCCAACGTTTTTCAAGTGTTCTTTTATAGTAATACTTTTTATTATTCTACCATGCAATCAAAAATCAACGTACGCAACGAAAAATTCAAAATTGACATTTTTTTTTATACTTGATGAGCTATTTATTGAAAAAAAAAAGTTTCCAAAATTAAATTTTATTTTATCAGTTTTTTTAAAGTCTTTATTATCACTCATAGCATTAGCCATAGAATATAATAAAAATATTAATGAAGCCACTTTTCTCAAAATCAATTGTGAAGCACTTTTGTCATTTTTTCTTTAATTGCACAGTGGTGTTGAGTACTTCTCCTTGGAAACTTTTAATTTCATTTCTTTCCTTTTTTTTTCAAAATAAGTTACTTACACAGATAATCCTTATTGTTATGTTTACTTATGTCCTTAAAGCACATCGTTAAAATATAAAAATACATTTGAAACTTTGTGCATACAATTTTGACGCTTTGGATTTTTCTCATGCGGATTTCTTTGATTATTTGGATGCTACCTTCTTATTCGCAGCAGGTTTTTTACTTTCTGTGACTATTTTCCAAAAAAATATAACATTACTATGAAATGAGTAAAATATGTTATCTTTTTTGACATCTATATTAAATCTTTCTTTTAAAATATGCACGAGTTTATCTTAAAACTTCTATAAGGTCTGATAAGTTCAACATTACTTATGACGATTTATAGTTTGTAAATCATTGGTCTTATTTGAATTTACTGTGTTATCAGTCTATATTGAATTTATCTTTTAAGATAAATTCCTTTTTTTTTTTAATTATTGACGATTGTTGTACAGGAATGCTGTATAAAAAATATAACATTAAATTTTTCTTTAGTTTCTTTACTGAATCTAAAATAAATAAATCTTAATGAGTAACTATCAGGGTTGGGTTTTTGACATCAAAAAGTGGTTTTTGACATGACAAGGGTATAATACTGGTTTAAACCGTCAAAAACGTCAAAAACTGAAGTTTGCCAAGAAAATATATAAACTTCAAAACTACCAACAGTTGCCATGCATTATATTGAAATTTAATTATACTATAGGTAATCAGCAGGTTTTAAAATATTTTTTAATTAAAATTAAGGTAAAATAACAGATTTAAAATCTCAGAAATTTATATTCAAATGCATGTGCAGAAAAATTTTGCACAAAAATTGTTTAAATATTTATATTTAAAAAAAAAAAATTTTTTTTTATACTTAAGAAAATTAAAAGTTTATTACTATGCATTTTTGACATATAAGGAACATATAACTAATATTTATAAGGAACTTACAAGTTATGTTGTATAAATACAAACTTGATACAAGTGTATGAAAAAAAATTTTAATGTTATACCGAATATCTTTATTATCCAGTATGTTAATTTGAATTTAAAAGTAGTTATATTTGTGAATAATGATAAATATAATTCATATTGTTTATTATATTTATTTATAATTATTACACTTATCATTTTAAAACAATTTTTATCTCTTAATTTTTTTTTCTCCACTTGTATTAAGAATACAAATAATGCATATCTTGAAAGCAAGAAGTAATTATTCAACAGCTGAATATTTAGATATTCAACAAAACTATATAGTATTCAGCAAAATGAAATTCACAAGTATTTGGATAAACTAAATTTTCAGCATAGTAAATGAATAGGCTGAATATACTGTAAATCGACACTAACTACTCTGTGTATTTAACAGAAAGCACTTAAATTTGTATTGTCTTATGTTAAAAAGATTATTAAGAAGATTTAAAAGAATATTAAAAAGATTTTTCTTTAAAAGAAGATGTCTAATGTACAAAACTGCTAATGTTTATCTTTAAAAATGTCTAATTTTTAGTATAATCTATACTATACACTAAATTTGGTTATAAATAAATTTCTTAATAATATCACTGCAGATTTTCAATAACACATGAAAATGAATACATAATATTACAAAAGATGTGAGTTTTCAAAAGTACAAGATTTTGGTTACTATTCAAAATATAAGTGTTTCTTCAAAATTTTAAATTTATTTTTTCTAGAACATATTTAGAAACACTATCCTTTATAAAAAATATATAAATTTTATGTATTAATTAAATTTCACATATGAATATAGGTTTTTGACATTTTTGACAGTGAGGTTTTTGACGTGACGGTTTAAACCCTGGTTTAAACTGTCAAAAACTGTCACATGTCAAAAACCTGCCAACCCTGGTAACTATGTTATCATTTTTTTTGCCATGTTTTTATCTCAATACGACATTTCAAAGGGGAGGAAAAATTAAAAGCAAACATTTTTTAAATTCCTTCTCATTTTTTTTTTAAATTTGTAACTTGGATAAAATATGTAGACTTTAGAAAATAAATTTCCTTGATCTATGTTTATTATACTTATATATGTTTTTTTTTTTTTTTTTAAATATTTTAAATACTGATTGAAGAACTTGATGGAAGAAGCTATTGATTGGCACTTTGAAAAATCTAAAAACTTAGGTTTAAAATATGTTTCGTACATTTATAGAATTGTTATATATGAATATATATATTTATATTATGCCAGAACATTATATAAAACTTTTCAAAATGAACCAATGTTTTATTATAAGTCAGCTTCTCATTATTTAGTATTCTTAAGCTTCTATTAGCAAAAAGGTCTTTTAAAAATACTTTCTTACACTGAGTTCTTCAATTTTTTAATAACTGATTGTAAAATTATGAAATATTAAAGTCTTTAGTAAATTGTAGTGAATTTATAAGATAATAGTGGAGAGATTTAGAAAAACTATTTCATATCTCTACTTGTTCACAAAAGTTTGTTTTGAAGTAACTGAGAATGCTTAATTTTGATATATCCACGTCGAAGGACATGCTCTGTTATTTTAGACTAGAAACCTGAACCTGAGCGGATGTGAAAATTAATTTCTAAATCCCTCTAATAGATTTATTTAATTTTTGTTTCCAAGCTGAAATGAGCTTTTGTTGTTTTATTTTAAAATATAACTAAATTTAATTTTAACTAACATTACAATCATTTTTAGGTACTGCTTGTGATTTAAGCTTGTAGAACTTACATTTGAAAATATACTTGAGGTAAGTTGTGTACCTACTTATTATAAATTCGAGGCTGCCAACTACTACGGTTTTTGCAAATTACTTTATAGAGTATTGAGAAATTAATAATTGAATCTTTCATAATTTTGGATAGTTTTGTGAAAGGATTAAAAGCTTTGCCACTTGAGAATTTGAATATATTGGTGTATTTTATGAATAATGTAGTCATTCAAATGAAGTTGTGTAGAAAATTAAATATTTTTAAATTAAAGTCATTAAATAAAAAAAATCATACAATAAAAAATAAACTTTGCTAGATGAAATTTTTTCGCAAATCATAGAAAGTTGGCAGTCATGTAAATTACAATTTTCTTTTGTTGACAATGGATGGTGTTTTGAATAAAGTAAATATAAATGAACATGATTGAATAATCATGTTTTATTTATATTTAAAACCCTTTTTAGCTTATTGTTCTGTATACTCAGAACGAATACTTTCAAACAGATGATTTTGTTGATATTGTCACAAGTGTATTAAAAGAATTCAATTGTCTTGTAAAATGTCAAATGTTTATTCCTTTATTTGATTCTCATAAATTAAAAATGCTAAAATGCTTTTTAAAATTATTTGTATATTAATTTTGACCAAAATAAATTTGGTATTCATATTTGAATAGAAGCTGCTGTTTTGAAATTCTTGATTTAGCTGATCTGTGTACTTTTTTGTGTATGTGCTATTCTATTTCAGTAAGTGTATTCATAAGTTTGTGTGGAAATAGTTTTTAGGTTTTATTTATACTGATAACAGTATTACATAATTAGCAAACAATGTATGGTCACACTTCAAAGCAGATTAATGTATTAAAGAATGTGAGTGTATCCTTCTCTTCTGCTGTAAAAAACATCATCCATATTTTTTATCTTATACATCTTTGAAAATTTTATTTATCTTGGCTAATGATTTTTAAATTTATTATAGGTTTCCAGCTTTAAAAGACTGAAAATAATTTTTGTATCACTGACAAATATAAAGAGTTATTTGGTTTATCTGATACAATGAGTTATACATATTGCTTTATGGAAATGAAATTATGAAATGGGAAAAAGGCCATTTTTTGTTAAAATATATGAAGATGTTTGCTAAATGAAATATGATTGTATTGATTGAAACAGTTATTTTAGTGGCATATATTTTACAATATGCATGATGGAAATTACTGCAAAATCTGTTCTTAAAAAATCTAATTCATCAAGCACGAGCTTAAAAAAGGTTTCTTTTTCTGATACAGTAAAGCTTTACATCGATGATCCGAGTAAAATATCAAATTTTGAAAATGAAGTTGCAAAAATGAAGTGGGTTGAAATTAGTATAGTTGATAAATCCTATGATGTACCTTTTTTAGATTCCTCTTATGAGGATTGCAAAGTATCTGATTTTTTAGTTCATAAAGTGGTTTATGATGGTATTTTACCTGAAGATGATAATGAACTAGAAATCCAAAATGAAGACATAGAACCAGAATGTTTTGTGTTTGAGTCCCCTGCTGATGAAGGCTTGGAATTCGTTGTACACAAAGTTACTGAACATGAAGATGAGAGTGCCTTAAAGGAATTAGAATTGGACAGTTTTGTTAGCGAGGAAGGGGAACATGAATCAACATTTGATGTTGAAGTGAACGGTGATGTCAAAGGATTATCAGAATTGAGTGTTAAAAACATATTGGAACATGATAAAATCATTGCATTTATTGACCAAAAAAGTTTATGTCTTCCTTCATTGCACAATACACTTCATATTTTAGAAAAAAGCAACAAAACTGAGAGTATTAAAAACAGTCCAATTAATTGTTCAACTGAGAAAAATGCCAGAATAGGTTTATCTCCTCCATTACAAGAACTTAGTTTAGATAACATTGTCAAGGCTCATTCTGACAACATTTTAGCTGAACTTGATATAAGTCCTTTAAATTCTGTGCAAGAAACTGATAGTGATTCAGACCTTTCGTCAGAAGGCACCATGATAATGATGACCACTGAAGAATGTGAAAGAAATGAGCGCCACATTCAAGAAAGTCTGTTAAAGTATCAATCTTTGAAAGAAAGGGAATGCAAAACTACATTGTCCTTAAAAGCAGATAATGTAAGCTCTAGTATATCTGTTAATACACATACAATCTGTGAAAGTATTAATAGCCTGAGCTCTGAACTTGAAACCAGGCTAAGTTGTGGATTAGATTGCAATGATGAGGAGAGTCATTCATCTGAAAGCAATGATGTTGATCATCGGTTCTCTGTTACAGATGAAGTTGATATTGAGTCTTCCCAGTTATCAACTTGTTTAGAACAATGCTCACTTGATTCAATGGCTGAACCACCTCCACCTAAAGACTGTCGTAGTTTATCGCTGACAGATATGGAAGTGTTACAGTCTATGTGTGAAAGTTCCATTCTGCATTGCTCAAATAGTCCTAGAAAAGGCTGTGTTGGTAGCAACATTGATTTTTGGGATAAATCTCTTACATCAGTAGAAATCCCTAAAGATGTTCGTGAGTGGAAAATACTTCTGAATTCTTTTGAGAAGAACTTCCAGAATAGACTAAATTACCAAAATGAGAGCAAATTACAGTTTGAAGAACACTCTTCTGCAGAGAAAGAAGTTTTTTGTGATGAAAGTGACTCTTCAGATTCCCAAAGCAGTTTAAGCCAAATAAATAACCAACACTGTGATGAGTTAGAACAATTTGTGAATCAAAACACAGAAAGGGTTGAACGTATCCGAAAAAGATACTTACCAAAAAATAAAAATCATACTTTCCAATATACCCCTAATAGGGGAACGCGTCCTCAGTTTGGTTCCACGGCACAAATTCTGCATTTAATGCAGAAGCAAAACAACCCTCCATTTTACACCTACAGTGGGACAAAAAACCACATGTCCTGGCCATGTGATGACCTTACAAGTGATTCTGAGCTTGAGAAAAATGTGAAATTCAGACATTCCCCTCATGTGTATGTTAGTCAAAGTCTTTCCAGTGATTGTTCCTCACAGTCTTCTTTTGATAGTGATGAACATATTAATTCTTTAAATGGTGATCATTTATCAATATCTTCTTGTTCTTCTCTCTTAATGCAAGAGAGAGGAAGGCCAGAAGGTGCAAGCCCACCCAAACCAGGTGTGAATGATAGTTTTGAACATTCGTATGATGAAGCACCTGATGGTTATGTTTATTATTCTATGAAAGTTTAAATTAAACTTTTTATTCATTAAGCTTTTTTTTTATTAAAAAATCAGAAAAATTGGTTAAAATTCTTTATTTTAAGCATATAATTTCTTTGATAAAATTTTACATTGTATTAATGTAATTAAATGCAGGTTTTAAACAGTTGCTGCTCAGTTTGCTGGAATGCGTCAAAATTAGCAAATTTTGGAAAGGCAAAATTCCTGTGCAATTAATTTTAGGAAAAATTGACAAACCTTATTATTAAGGTAATAATGCTAATAAAAAACAAATGTTTATCATAATTGCTGCCTATAAAAATCTTCAACATAAAATAACAAAGGAAAAAAAACTAATAGCTGCATCAATACCTTTTTAATACTGGAATGTTCCTTAAACATTTCTCTAGAGATGTTCGAAGTGTAAAATGTGAAAAGTGTATTGCTTAATTTAAAAGTTTTAGAATTATAGGAATTGGAAATGAAAATTGCTCCGTGAAAATTTTATGAAACTGTGATGACTGTGGCAGCAGCAGTAACCTTTTTAAAAAGAAAGAAAATTTGAATTTCAAAAATTCTGTGTTTTTATTTTTAAAAAAGAACAATTGAAAAAAAAAGTTTTTTAATAAAATGTAACAAAAGTTCTGATTGAATTAATTTTGGAAAATCCAACTTTTTTTTCTGAAAGAAAATATATTTTTCAAACGTTCTAATTGATTTTACAAGTAAAAAGAATTAATATAAGAAATATATATTTTTTATTAACTACCAAATATTCCAGTTACTTCACCTTTCTTGTTATATTATTACTGAAATTCTAAATATTCAGGCTTTTACTATATTTTGCATACAAATTCAATATTAATGTGAAAATTTACTTTTGCCATCATTCAAATTAGTGAAAAAACGGCTATTGATGTGATAGATTTAAATATCTTGTCACAAAAATGTTTTTATATTTGTGTGGACCATAACCTATTTTTCTGATTTTATTGTATTGATGTTCTATAAGTTTTTTCAGTATTATTCTTGAAGAGCTTTTTTTCAAGTTGAGATTTTAGTTTTTGCTCAATGAACTTATATGAATTGGTATTTTCCAATCTATGTATTGCAAATGTCTTTTAGTTTTATTTATAATTTTTTTTAATGATTTTGTTTATTTCATATATTGTTTATATTTACCAGTGATATTATCTTTATTTATTTGGATAGTTATTAAAAGTGCGCGTTTAAATGTACATATTAAAATAGTGCTATAATTTTATTTTCATTTCAGCCAGTAAACTGAAAAAAGTAAGAAAATTAAATAGCCCAAACATTAATAAGTTCATAAGGATTTAGGCAGCCCACAGAGATGCCAACTTGCTCCAGGCAGCAAATATGTATTTTAAAGTGGTAGTTTATCAATTGTGATTCTTGGTTTAATAAATTCAATTTAGTAAATTTTTATCCACCACTATTTTTAAATAATTCGTAGGCTTATATAATCAAATATTTGCAACATTTATTTTGCAGTTGTTTACTGTTTTTTTTTTTTTTTACTATTATTATTTTGCGTATCTGGAGCAGTTGGCATCTCTGAGCCCCGTTTAAAAAATTTTATTAATTTTTGAAACAACTATTTTTTATTTTGCCATCCAAAATTAAAATTTTGAATAGTTTTGTTCAAACATTTTAAAATGTTTGTAGAGAAAAAGACAAAAATTTATAATGTTTTAACATTTAAAAATTAAAATTTAATTACTTTGTTTTTGAGATATAATTTTTGAAAAAGTAAATTATCAGCAATGGAATTTATTTTTATGACTATAAATTATATCCCATAATTTATAAATTATTGTTTGAAAGTTTTATTTATAAATTGAAGTAGGAAAATTTTAATTTGAGAGTTGAATTATGAAAAGTTTTATTAATATAATTAGTTAAAAGCAATTAATGTTCGAAAAAAAATACTGTCAGATTTATTAATACAAATGTATTTACATGTGTGGTTTCAATTTTTTTTTTAGTGCTTAATTATAAGTTGAGTTCTCTTTTGGAAAGTAAATCCCACCTGGCATATGCAGTCCAAAAATATGCCTTTAATGATCGAAATTTGCACAATTTTACGATTTTTAGTTGATATGTAACATTAATTAGATAATTAATATTATAATTTATGGTTAAAAGTTTGATGATTGCGTTAAAGGTTTTTCAAGGTATTTTCTGTCTTCCTTTGCTAATTGTACATTTTGAAATATAATTAAATAGGTTATTTTATCTTATAACAGAAAATTATTGCTATTTTCAGTCTGTGCCAAACTATTTTGCACACTATTTTCATATGTTTTCTATAATAATATCACTGAAATGGTTAGTTAGGAAGTTAGGTAAGTTTTATGTCAGGAACTGATTTGCTTGATAAAAAAAAGGATTTTATATAATTAGAAATGAAAAAAAATATTTTAATAGAAATTTTTTAATAGATTTACTTTAAAATTAAGTTCACATTGTATTTTTGAAGATAAAATATATTTTCTGCTATAAATGAATAAAGCTTAAAAACTAGAATAAAGCTCAAATAGTGGTCGAAAAATTAACACTGTATAATTTTGGTTCTATACAGAAAAAACTTACTGTCAAAACATAAAATGACCAATGAAAACATGCAGCAAAGAAGTTGCTATGAGAGAAATAGTGGTTTGGTCAGTTGTACCTTATTTCTATATCTCATTATTTCTTGTCTCATCCGCTTTCAGTTAAACCTATTTTAATTAGTGAAATTTGTTTGTCTTGTGCTTTCTTCTGTCATGTTGTGTTTCTGCACTGAAGAATTTTCTCGGTTATAGAACCAAATCGATAGTATGTCTATTTTTGTGCCATTATTTATGCTTTATTCATGATTAATTTTAAATTTTTTTTTACGAGTCTTACATTAGATTAATTTGTTATTTTAAATTTCCACCATCTTCCTCAGGTTTTTTTGCATTGTATTTCAAATATATTTTTTATATTCTAGCCAGTAACAAACTTATCGTTCGAGTCTATAGGTAAAATAATATGAAAAAAAATATGAATTTATTAATTTTTGATGAAATTTTGAATATTGAGTAAAGAACTAATAATTTTAATTTTTTTGAAGTTAATCTTGAGTTTATGAATAAAATCTTTTATAAAAAAAATATACGTAATATATGATGCAAAGTTCAATAAAATATTTATATTAACTCTAAATAGATTGCTTAAAATTGCATTTTTATTTTAAATTTTAAAATTTTTAGAAAATCTATTCAAAATCAAATTAGTGTAAAGTTACATACGATCGCAAAAATACTCATTTCAATAATTTTCAATGCTTAGATTCCAGCATTTTTAAATATTGACTATTTATAACTGTTGCATTAAACCCAAATTTTTGTAGTTTAAACATTTAGGTAAGAGAGGATTATTTTATTGTAATTTTCTATTATTTAAATTGTTTGTATTAATTTCATAATAAAAAAATAAAATTTCATTTAAAATATTTTTTAACTATATACATTTTTAGGTTTTTATTTTGTCTAATCGTAATAATTTTTATTTTTTAAAAAAACTGCAATTCTTTTCTTTTAAAAGAAACATTATGTGATGTAAAACATTCCAATAATAAAATAGACTTGTTTGAATTGATTAATGGCCAATGTAATGGTAAGCTTGCTTTAATAAATTATTTGAAATACTATGAGGCATTTAGTTGTAACATTTATTATGCAGAATCATTCCAATTTCTTTCATAGTCATTATTTCATTTTTAACCAGGAGGCCAACTTTCTACACTTTTTAGAAAAAAATTTTCTAGTGGTAGTTAAGTTTACATTTTAATGTATTATTCTTAGCTTTGTAAATTTGATTTCAAATTATTTTCTTCGCCACTAATAATTCATGTAAACAATTCAAAAGTTTATATAAAATACTACTTTGTTCTAACTTCATTGCAGAGAAGTTTTTAAAATGTTGGCAAAATTACTAAAAAAATTTTGAAAGCTTCAGTTTTTATTAGTCTATCACTCTTAAAAATATTTTGCAAAAAGCATGGTAGTTGGCAACCCGGTTTTTAACTATCACATTTTTCACAGTAATAACTTTTTGCAGAATAAAATACTCATTTTCAGCAACTTCAGTCAGTCAATGTATTTGTAAGCTTTGATAAATTATTTTAATTACTATGTGGCATTCAAATTTATCAGTTATTTATTATACATATTCATTCATTATTTTCATAATCATTGTTTCACTTCCAACTACCATTTGTTTTCGTTTACACATTTTGTATTGTTTGCACATTTGTGAAATAGATATTAATGTGTTTTATGTGTAATGATCTTATTTGATAGTAATATATGTACAAATGAAAAAAATAGATTATTTTTCTATTTGTATACAAATAGTGAAAAATTTTTATATAACTGACGTTTATATTTGGAAGGAGTTTAAATTTTGGTTGTATGTTTTACAAAATAAATTATTATGATATATATTTCCACTTTTTAATTGTCACAAAAAATATGATTTGCTTTTTGAATCTAAAATAGCAGTCAATAATATTGCCTGTTTATTTTATAATTCATGTACACTATCTACCAATAAGTATTTGGACACCTATGCAAATGACTATATCTGCGGTCCTTAGATACGTCACACTCTCCGCCGGTATATATCTGTACTCTGTACAACATCAGCATTAGTCCCATGCAAGATGCCTACTGCTCTATTTTGGATGACAATGTGCTTCCTACGTTGTGGCAGTTTTAAGGGGTGGACACCTTAAAACTGCCACAACTTGCCCAGACCTGAACGCTATCGAGAACCTCTGGGACAAGTTGGATCGCCGAATTAAGGGATGTACTACCCATCCAAAATCGGCGAAGGGACTTACATGTCTTCTAAAAGCCGAGTGGTAGAAAATACCACTAGCCGTCACACAAGGACTTGTGGAAAGTATGACCCGCAGGGTTCACACTGTAATTGCCTCTTGTGAAGGCTCTTCCAACTATTGATTATGAATGAAGTTAGTTTTTCTTTTCAATCACACCTGTCCAAATACTTATATTGGTAAGTAGTGTATTTATAAGATACAATTTTGATTGGTTTGGTTGTGTCACACTATGGCTATACTAATGGGCATTTAACAAAGGCATAATATTCAATCTATTAATAATGATCCAAAGACAGTGCTGACACACTACACTAGCACAATTTAGATTGAAGAGAAGATGGTTGCAATATTCATCCAGTCTTCGTACTATGCTCAGCAACTGCATGTTGACATTTCAGTCACTGAATCTGACTATTAACATAACATTGAGTGGATTCCGAATCATAAGGCACGATTGAAGAATAATCAGACATCTAGCCTTTATCATGAGGAATCGAACTCTGGCCCAAGTCGTAGTAGGCAAAGACTATACTCCCCACACTACCCAGGTAGTAGATAAAAGAGTTTTGAAAATACAGAGGGAAAAAAATTATAAATTGCACCAGAAATGGTGCTCTCTCTCTCAGTAAATTTGAGTAATTGAAGATCAAGGTGGAAGAAGGGTTTATGCCCATGAAAGCTGATTCTGTGAAGGAATCTTTTTTCACTATCATGGCCCATCATCATTGACTGTGCAATAACCTTTAGGGAAGATCGATTTTCCACGTTCTTGATTTATCAAAACTTAGTAATCCTCAAAATACAACATTTTTGTGAAAAATAGATAAAAACCATTCTTCCTCCTTGATCTTTAGTTACTAATTATACTTTATTACCATTTAAGTTACCCTAATATAGGGGTGCACAACCAGCAATAGCATCTGAACATAAAAAAGTTATTTGAACTTTTTTAAAATTGAAAATTTTCAATTGCATATAAGAAAGCCACAGTGACTCAGGGGATAGAGTTCTCGCTCCCTATGAAGTGATCCACGTTTGAATCCCTGCATTGGCTGGTCGATACGTAGTCTGCTCCTGGCATGCATCTACCATTGAGATGAAATATTCTCAATGGTAGATGCAACATGTGTTAGAATCCTCTTGCTGTTTGGCTAACTGTGGGAGGTTTTGGTACGATGTAACGCAATCTGGATTAGTTCCATAAAAAAGTCCTCTGCAAAGACAAGCTTGATCCAGGAGTTTCCCTGTCTTCTAGATTGGGTTCGAAATTGCAAAGCTAGTATTGATAGTCATAAACTCAGAATCGGGGCGACTGTCCATCGCCGTTTATAAAATAAAATTACACATTTGATTCGTCACTTTTTAACAATTGCACAGATTCCATTATAAATCTACAGTGAAACCTCCGTTAAGCGGACATTCATGGGACCAAAAAATTTGTCCGTTTATGAGAGTTGTCCGTTTACGGGAAGGGTACCCTAATAACGAAATTTAACACCGTAAATTGTTTTTAGAATATTCTTAAAGATGTAGAAATAATTAAATAATATCTACAAGGATACCGTAAATATCTACAAGAATATTTATTTAAACAATAAGAAATATATAAAAGATATATAAAAAAGATAAAAAAACGAAGATTCTTTACATAATCATTTTTTTAAGATATAAAGAATCTTCTTTTTTTATCTTAAAAAAAGAAGATTCTTTATATATTCTTTTTTATATAATAAATATAAAAAGAATATATAAAGAAGTTTGATATAAATACATAATTCTTTATGTAGCTACAGATAAATAAATGTAATTTTCCTATTAGCATAGATACTCAAGTTAGACATATGATACCAAATAGGAGCGTACTGTCCTCAGTCCGTTTCAATNATCTGGATTAGTTCCATAAAAAAGTCCTCCGCAAAGACAAGCTTGGTCCAGGAGTTTCCCTGTCTTCTAGATTGGGTTCGAAATTGCAAGGCTAGTATTGATAGTCGTAAACTCAGAATTGGGGCGACTGTACATCGCGTTTATAAAATAAAATTACACATTCGATTCGTCACTTTTTAACAATTGCACAGATTCCATTATAAATCTATATGGTTGTTCGATTGCGTTTTACGTGTTTATGCGGAATTCCACACTGTTTCAAAAATCCCTATGCTTTTTTAATAAGATATTTCGATACACAAATTTCAAATTTGTGTAATTACTTTTTAACGGGCTTTGCTCATACCAAATTCATCGTAAATCTAATAGATTTTTAGGCAATTATTAGTATTAATTTCCATATTTTTAAAATTCCGCTACATTTCACACGGTATTTCGAGTTTTTCAGCAGTTATTACAATGCATTTTTACATGGTTTTGAAAGTTCTGTTATTTTTTAATACGATATTTCAACGGCACTCGAGTACGAATCACGTATTTAAATAATCACTTTTTGACGCTTTTTTTTTCTTCCGATTTCTACATTATTTAAGCGACTTTTTGATCATATTTTTGCAGTTATTGTTGCGTTTTCCCATGTGATTTTGAAATGCTAATATAGAAAGGAATTTCGTATCACATATTTAAATAATTACTATTCAAACCGCTTTATTTGAGCCGATTTCATTATAAATCCGAATTACTCGTATTTTTCAATCATTTTTTTCGGCAATTACTGCTCTACTCTTTGGCATGATTTTTTTTTCTTTTTATATATATATATCCGTTCAGCCGACCCAATTTTGAGTTTACTAATGTTCAATTCCGTAGCCGTGTAATTTTGAACCAATCCAGTAGACAAGGAAACTCCTGTACCCCCAGAGGTATTGATTTGTTATGGGAACATGGAGGACTTAGCGACTCGACAGATTTAACGTGCATCAGTCACCATTTATTACAAGGGGAGTCTTCGGTCGGCTGGGATCGAACCCACGAACATGGGCCCAGTGCCCTACCAACCAGGCTATCCCGGCCTATTTGGCATGATTTTGAAAGTTATGATATTTTAGTTACTATAATATTATGACACGTGACTCATGGATTTAAATAATCACTTTCTGGTGTGATTTATTTATGCCGATTTCATAGTTAATCCAAATTATGTTTTGATCTTTTTTCAGCAGTCGGTGCCTTGCATTTCCACTTTGTATTGAAAATTTGGGTATTTTTAATACAATATTATTGCAACACGCGAAAAGAGGAGGAATCCCCATGTTGATATTTGTTTTGATAAAGGAATTTGTCAAAAGAAAAGCATTAGCTTCTTCAATTTTCAGTTTTGAATGAATTCTGGTATTTTATTAATTTTCTGCAAGTATAAGTTGACTTATTATTAATCAAGTTGACAATACACAGGGTTTCCATGGGTCAGGAAGAACAGGGAAAACCTGGAATTGTCAGGAAATTTTATTTTAACTCCAAAAATCAGGGGAAGTTAAAAAATTTTTGGCAAAAACCTGGTAAATTCCTACATTATACCTGAAAAATAACCAGTCTTAAAATTGTCAGTCACAGTAATCAGTTTGAGATTCGACTTAAATGATTCTAACATTTATTACAATTATTCATTGTTAAAATTTCACATTTAAGTAAAACTGAAATGTTTCCATCCTTTAATGATTTTTTTTTACACAGGAAATCCAATACTTAGCATTACAAATAAAAGAATCGAAGTTTTCTGATAAAAAATTTCGTGGTATAGATAAATATAGTATGGATTTTCATTGAAATTTACTTGATATATCTGGAAAAGTCAGGGAATTTTTTTTCTGAAATTGAGTGGGAACCCTGAATACAATATTATTGCAACACGCAAAAAGCGGAGGAATCTCCATGTTGATCAGTGATTTTCCAATTTACATAACTTCTTAAATTAATTTTATCTATTTCCAACAAAAAGTTTGTTATATAATCTTATGTAAGGTGATGAGTTAATTACAGGGTGAATAATTAGCAAAGCAGCATTTTCCTTTTAAGAAATTTAATATGCAGTTATTACTTTTTATTTTTAAACTAAAAATAATTAAAGAGATCAGAAGCATTGTACAGTAAGGAACCGATTATCCGGAACAATCGGGACCATCGCTATTCCGGATAACTGATTTTTCTGGTTTTCTGAATCGCTACACAAAGCCGTTTTTTTATTAATAAACCCAACTAAAAAAAAAAAAAAAATTTTTGGAAATAATCTTAAAAAGAAAAAACGATGAAGTAATACACTAATGATCATTTCCAAAATAATGGTAAGGTGAACATCTTTCAAAAAAGAAAGAAAAATCCTAAAATCTTATGAGGAAAAAAAAAACAAAAATTTTAAAAATGGCGGGAAAATTTATCGAATTTCATTCCGGTTTTCCGATTTCCGGATAACGGGTTCTGTACTGTATATGATTTAACATTTAGTCAATTAGACAAGGTAAAATCACATTACATACACAGCTGCATATTATTCAAATATGTCTTAGTTTTTTAAAACTAGTACCAAAGCTGAACATATTTTTTTTTGTTTAAAAAAGTCTTAATACTTCCTTCCCAACCGCTCCTTTCAGAAATACTTTTTAAAAGTTGTAAACTTCTTAAAAAAGGTAAGAAAAAGATTTAAGAAGGCTTAAAGAAAAAGAAAAGTANATGTCTTAGTTTTTTAAAACTAGTACCAAAGCTGAACATATTTTTTTTTGTTTAAAAAAGTCTTAATACTTCCTTCCCAACCGCTCCTTTCAGAAATACTTTTTAAAAGTTGTAAACTTCTTAAATAAGGTAAGAAAAAGATTGATAGGAAACACAGACTTAAAGAATGTTCTAATCAAATATGTTCAGAATTTTTTTCTTTGATTTTTAAAAATATTCAGATAATTATTTAAAAAAAAAAAAAAAAAGAAGAAACAGGTTAAATTTCACTATAATTGTAACCACTAGCCATAATAATGTCAAAACTTTATAGAATTCTGGTGAGAATAAATTTAATTCAATATTTAACCTATGGGCAATTCTATGATACGATGGACAACATAAAAAAATAAACAATTAACAGTATCCCTCCATTAATAAATTTTTAATCAACTATTTTTGATATAAAATCCAAAATTGCAGTTTTTAAGTATTTTGTAGCAATAAAAAGATTTATTAAAATTTTAATATAGTTTGTAGCTGTAACATTGGTCACAAAAGCTTTTTCTCGATTAGCCAATTTCTATGTATCCAGTTAATATCATTTTTTAAAAAATCCATTCATTGCTTATAGAAAGAAATTTCAAAATAAAAATAAGTTTTACTCCATGTCCTTTTAAAGTAACATCAGTCACATTTTTTTTTTTATTTATTCTAAAGCATTTATAACTTTCATCCCTTTTTTAATATGCACAATACTGAAGAACATCTTATATATATAGTTTTAAAAACAATTATTAAATATTTATCAATAAAAAAAAAGTTTAAAAATAAGAAAGCCTATCAAAATTTAATATCAGTTACCATGAAATTGTATCTATATACATTTAAAAATAATAAATCTGTTCTGATTGATAAAAGAGAAACACCAGAAAAACAATATAAGTTTTTATTAGTGAATACAGAAGAAAAAAATACACTTCAAGTAAAGAGACTAATGACTAGTATCACATAATGAATAGTGCAATCCAATATTCGATGCATGTGTTTTATTTTTAGCAATTAATAACTGACATACATTGAAACAAATAAAAAATTTAAATAAAGGATTCCAACGATTTTTAGTCAAAACTAAGTTAAATTAATAATTATCATAATCATTACAATGTTTATCTGTGAAATGCTTTAACTATAAGAAAACCCAATTATATATATATTTTAGAATTTCAATTTTGCCTTACAACTTACAATATAAGTACTTAGATAAAGCATGATGTATGCTTACACACTATAAGAATAATCTTTTATCTGTTTTAACTGCATTTAAAGTGGAACAAATATAATAATGTAAATGTTCTCATTTATTTAGCATTATAAGCGATGAACTAAGGGACACAATTATGCAAACAATATCTAAGCTAAGGATGTTTTACATTGATAAAAATAAAAAGAGTTATAAGATTAATAATTTTATAAACAAAAATATTTTCTTAATCTGCAAAGAAAGAAAAAATTGATGCTCATACATTATTTTTGCATAATGAAACCTTTCAAGTTGACCCCTTCTGCATTTTGATTACCTATTAAGTTGAACTAAATATTCAAGTTCTAAACAGGTAAATACAATGAAATTCCTTTACTATAAGTTTACTTGTCTTAATAAAGCATCAAATCGTTGTCTTAAAAGCAGTCAACTTACACAGTTTTTATTGTAAAAAGAAAAATTTACTAAGATTATTAAGAGTTTGCGTTCCAAAATAGAAGTCTAACATTTGAAAATACTGCCAGATCACATCCTTTAAATACACCAATATTAAAGTCCCCCTTATAAATACTAGAACACATCAAAAACTTATTAATAAAATTCTTATGAATATTACATAAGGTATTACTGTTACATAAGTGAAGGAATTTAGAGGTATAAATATACAAAACTGGTGGTTATTTGTTAAACATATATACTTCTTAAGTTTTTGTTCAAAATATAAATAAAAGTATAAATATCAGCTTACGAGCTGGCCAAAATCATCCAACTTACTACAAAATAAAACAAAAATATTGGATAAACAGCAAGAGCTTTTCTTTTAGGCAGTTGTGTATCTCCTAAGAAGACAGTGACCCCTACAATAGCCCAAGAAAAGCCACAAGTAACCAAAAGTAATTTAGATATAAACAAAAACAGTGAATAATTAAAAATCAACCCCATAATTTTACACATGATCAAAGCTATAGATGGTGCAAGTAAACAATACCCCAAAACACAAACACTCTGAAAAAAAGATATGTTCCCACCCAAAAGCTTTGAATTTACAGTAACAACAATCGCCCCAAACCAAACTATGAAAAAGATCTGCGCAAATTGCAGTCCATTATCATCCATATCATCTGCATTTTCTGTTGACAAGAGAGAAGCAAGCAGCATACATAAAATCAATGGTCCCCATAAGTCCCAATCTTTCAATAAGGTTTTCTTTTCTTTGGGGTATAGGACATGGTAAAATTTAGTGCCAACTGCTTTTAAGTCACGGGCTATAGTATCTTTGACAGGCTCATCTAAAGTATGATATTCAGCTCCATCGCTACTAGTAGGAGTACCTCCAATCTCTCCTTCCAAGGTAGTTTCTTCATTTTTTTGGTATAATATTGAATCAGGTGACTCCATAATTTTTAAAAAGTTTATAATCAAATGCTACATTAGATAAGTTTAGAATTCTCTTTCGTGTTTACCGATCTGCTGTTTACAAGTCATCACTAGCGAGGGAAAAGTGGAAGTTGTATTATTATCTTTTTTGATTTTATTCTAGATTGGAGTCGAGATTAATGCACTCTGACTAAACTTTTCAAGTTGAAACAGTATTTAAAGAACTGCGGCATATGCTGAAAAACCGAAAAGTAGTTTGAGTTTTCGTTCTAGTTTTGAAAAGCAAAAATTTTTTATATTTTTTTATATTTCATGAAACTGCTGAGCTACAAGACGAGCTTCAATCGATTTAATAATTACTTCGACTTGGATTTCGATTTGTTTGTAAATAAAACATCGAGAGAACCTGATCGGAAAACCATAACTTTTGTTTTACCTTTTAAACAGTATTTCAATTTTTGAAATAACTGTGTTACCGGTATGGATTTCAAAGAAGAACTTTTATCTATTATTCCACCGTTGTCAGTGGATTCTCATAAAGGCGCTGCTGGAAGAATCGGTATTGTTGGTGGCTCCAAAAATTACACTGGTGCTCCTTACTATGCTGCAATTTCCGCATTGAAAGTTGGTTGTGATCTTGCTCACGTATTCTGTTGGCGAGATGCTGCTCAGGTTATTAAAACATATAGCCCTGAATTAATTGTTCACCCGATACTTGATAGCCCCAATTTTATCGAAGAAGTTACAGATTATTTGCCATCGTTACATTCATTAGTTATAGGACCCGGTTTGGGACGTGATAAAATAACTTTCGATGCTACACGTAGCTTGATTAACTTAGCGAAGAAAAGAGATATGCCTCTAGTCTTTGATGCGGATGCTTTGTTTTATTTAAACGAAAATTTTCAGGATGTTATGTCTTATAAAAAAGCTATATTAACACCAAATAAAGTTGAGTTTAAACGCCTTTATGAAGCAGTCTTAAAGAAAAATTTGCAATCAGATGGTTGTAAAGGGGAAGTCGAAGAGTTATCGAATGCCATGGGAGTTACTATTGCAAAAAAAGGTCCATTGGATATTATATCTGATGGTTCAAATACGGTACTTTGTGATGAGTTAGGTAGTCCCAGAAGATGTGGTGGTCAAGGTGATTTACTTTCTGGTTCTATGGGAGTGTTTAGTTACTGGGCTCATAAAAGGTATCCTGAAGCCAAGACTCATTGTCCTACAATATTAGCTGCTTTAGCGGCTTGTATATTGACTAGAAGATGCAATCACCTTGCTTTTAAGAAATTCCAACGTAGCATGCTTACATCGGATATGATATCTGAAATTCATGCATCATTTAGTTTTTTTGTTTCAAAAGCAGAACTTGTATGAAACAGAATATCTAATTTATTAAATTTAATGCGTGTTTTACTGTAAATTCAAAAATTGTATAAAAAGAAATTCTTTATATCTTTTACAATGTTGAATTTTGGGGAAAACTATAATTGAGGGTGCCCCTTGGCAAAATTGGCGACTTATGTTTGGCGTTATTCCTGTTTGCACGGAACACCGCGGTAACAGGAATGACGACCAAAACATAATGATATTTCATTAAAACATGGGAAAATTTTAACAAAACATCGACGAAAACTTAATAAAATTGCAATGAACACAATATAAGCAAAATTAATAAACCCAATAAAATGCATTTTGAATTGAAACAAAAATTAATGGAATAAGTACAGAAAATAATCGACTGACTTTATTTAGCTTGAATATCCTCACTTTTAGGTACACAGAATTCTCTAATAGCAGTTAAATATTTTTAAATGTATCATGAGTAGAATCTGTAGTGGCGGACGTATCTTTCGCACAAACATGACATTTATACCAATTACTAATTAAACTTTCATTCATACACCAGTCAATCACTGCTTTTTTTCCCATTGTTATTCAAATCGTACAGAAACTTAAGATTTATCTTACTTACCGAAGTCATTTTCAGGACCAGAAGCAAAATTAACCTTACCAGCCGACATCCAACGTAGAGCTAACTGACCTCTGAAATTACATATACCGTTGAACATTTAAAAATAAAGCTAAAATTTAAACCAATCAGAATCACGATTGGGTTTCAACATCGCCCAGATTGGCGATCAACAGCGAACACAACTTAGCGAGAATCAAGGGGCACCCTCAATTATAGTCTTGCCGAATTTTGTATAAATATGAAGAAAAAAAATTTAGTTATAATTATGTGTTATGTAAAGATTTCAACCAAAAGAAGTGGGATATTTTTATATTAGTGCCTGTTTAGACCATTTGAAATCATCCAGGTGCGAAGTTTAACCGTTTAATTCTTGTATTTGTAATAAATTTAAGATACACATATAGTGGTTTTGAGTTGTTTTTTTTGTTTCGGAGTAAAGTTCTGAGATTTAGTTTTAAGTTTCTCATGTGACAATGCTTAATTGTTGCCAAAACTTGATTACCACTTTGGGGCAGTTATCAATATCTATTTCTTTCTAAAAAATTTGTAAATAATAGATTTATGTGCATAATATTCTTAAAACATAATATTTTACATAATATTCATAAAACTACCTTATTTCTGCTTTCAATTCATTTGCATTTTATGTACTTCTACATTTAAAGCAAAATATTTCTACATTTAAATATTTAAGAAAGTAAACATCTAACTCTGTCAGAGAGTGACGCTTTAATAAAAATAGATTACTGAAATTTCTAACATTTTTGTTGTTGTTCTAATGGCTGTTAAGATCAGAGCTGGAGAGTTGATAGTTGAAATGTTCAAGTTGTGACTCCAAACTTTTCTAAATGCTCAATTCTCACTTATACTTAGGGTGACCTGAGGTAGTTCTTGATCAAAAAATGCAATCATCTATTTTGTAAAAAAACTGTTCAAGATAGAATTTTAATATTTACTGGAAGTTTGAGGCTATATGAGATGAGTCCTATGCTACCTTTTGTTTGCAAATCTAATTAGAATTTAAATTTTTAATGATCAGGAATTATTTCTTGATCATTTCTGGGGTAATTCCTGATCACTTCACGCTGTTTAAAAATAATTATACAATGGTAATTAACAAATAGGACATCAAGATCAAACAAATGAACCAAAAATCTATAAGCAGCTAATAAAACGATTTATTTAAAAAGCAAGAATGAAGATCAACACTTTAAATTTTCCAAAAATCTTTGCATCGTGCCATACATTTTAGGCAAACAGCCAACTCATTCACATGTTCTGCTGGAATATAAAAAAGAGTTCCCACATGGGTTACTTTTGCTGGATTTTGTAACTTCATTAAGTGAGAGTGTAAAGTTAAGTAAGGTATGTCGACAGCTGTGGCAGCAGCTCTCACACTGAAATTTTCATATTCAATCATTAAAAGAAATTCACTAATTTTGCTTTCTAGAAGCTTAGTACACTTTTCAGGCTCATAATTTCTCACCATATTTATATTAGGCCGATTTATAAACTTAAAAAATTATTCTAACAATGTACACACGTAAAATTAAGATGGAAGCAAGGTAAGACAAATTAGAAATGGTGCAAATCAGAACACATTTGTCTTGTATACCGTTAAAAACAAATTTTGTGATTACAGTTAAAATATATTTTACAGTTGTTCCACTTAATAAATATGAACTGTTATTTAAGAAACGACAATTAGCTATTTATTATCTGTTTTTAATACTATTTATAAAAAGAAATGACAATGATCAGGAATTACCCCAGTGATCAATAATCACCCCATCTGTAGGGGGCAACATTTGATATAGTTTCCTATAATCAATTATAATGTTTATAGTAGATGTGAAACAATTAAACAAAAGCTTACACTATTTTCATATCAAAGAAAAAGAAAGTAACTCAAAATATTTTTTATTAAGAGAAGGATCTTTGCAGAAATGTACACATTTTGAAACCCATCTTTAAAATGGAAAATACAGAAAGCAGTTTAAAAGATAGGATTTTGTTAGATTAAACAAAAAACTATTAAGTAAATGTAGTTATACTTTAGTAAAGTGTACGAGCATTCTTGTCCATGTCTTCAATTTTAAAAAAAATTCTTTTTGAAATTAAACTTAGGTGATCATTATTTACCCCAGAAACAGAGTGATCATGAATTAACCCGGGTCACCCTACCTAGCCTCTGCAAAATTCTGCTTGATATTCCTATGTTTTAAAAGGTGATTCATTTAGTATCTTTATAATTTTACTCTGAAAAATTGCAATTTGCAATAAATATAAAAACTTCCCAGAAATTTTTTTTAATTTAAATTATTTTATAGCATTTATAAAAATTTTATCGAGTTTTATCAATTAAGAATTAAATTTCATTTTGTAAAAGAGAGCAGCCTCAAACTATGACATTTGTCTTTGTTTGAATGGTAGAGGTCGTAACACCAAGTGTTATCTTAATAGCAAATACTTTAGCAAATTGTTTTATGAAAGACTTTTTTTACCGGTTGCCTTAATGTTAAATGAACTTCTTTAAATTTTTTAGTCATAATCTGCAACAGATTAAACTATTTGCAGGGTCTGTTTTTGTAAAATTGTGAAAAAGTGACTCGTAATTTGTGAATATTAAATAAACGTTAAGTCACATTCTTTCAACCAGGGTCCACTTTTGTGAATTTGTGCAAATAGGGTCCGTTATTGCAAAAAAACTTTTTCAAGGAGTTTTTAATTTGTAAAGTTCCTGCTTTTTAATAATTTAAAAGAGTGTTATAATATTCAATCAAGTAACATTTTTGTTTGTATAATCATAATATTTGTCTGAATAATTTTTATGATATCATTTCTTTCTCCCTCTTTTACTCTAAATGACTTATTTCTTAACTTACTGAAGTAATTCTTGAGTGAATTTTTTCAACTCCAACTCTGTTTTTCTGATGTATTGCATTTAATTAACCGCCTTGAATTTCACTGAAATAAGTTCAACATATGGCGCTATATTGGTAAAATACCTAACAGCAAGAGTTTTCGAATGAATGTAGAACTTGTATACACTGCCCTTTAATACAAATAATGGGTCCTGCTCTACCATGCTCTCTGCACTTGGTTTTACGCTTATTGGTGAGTTGTCGGATATGCTACTTTGCATAAATTAGCAATTGTCAAGCAATGTATTATTATTATAAGCTATATTTGTGCTGTTTAGTTATAGTTAATAGTTATAGGTGTTTAGTTTGTGCTGTTTGGTTACGATATAGTTCCTTTCGAACGCCTTTGCAATAAATTTTATAACAAGACTTAGTAACATAGTTTAGGAATCAAGCAGTCAGTAAATACCCCCAAAACAGGACACAATATTTATTTAATATATCTCGACACAAACACATCACATTTTATTTTACTCTACATTTACAGTTTTATACATATTGTTAGTAAAAAAAATTACATTATTTTAATTCTTTAAAATAAAAAAGCATTTCAATTTACAGCAAAACACTACGAAGTGGGCTTTAAACATAAGGCAATGTTGATATCACATGTACAAGCAATATAAATATATATATAGTGCATTCTATATAATTTGTAACAATTCTACTTAAGTTTTCATTGCATGTTAGAAGTAATTAAAATAATCTCATAATTTTTAAGAAATTTTCAATTTTTTTTAAATGCATAGTTATTTAAATGTGTTTGAAAAGATCATTTTTGTTTAACATCTCTATTTACAAGAATTTCAATTTAGTTATTATACAAATGTTTAAATACATCAAATAAAAATTTCAGCTCATCATCAATGTTTATATCTTACATCTAAATTAATTTTGAAATGCTGTGTACAATATACAGTGATTTATTATTATTATTATTTAATTAGAATAACATGTTAACTAATTGCAAACTTTTTATTCTTATATTTCTAACCTGAGTTTTTTTTAATATTATGTTACAAGCTGATCATTATTTTTTACACATTTTAAATTTTTTATATATATATTTACAATTTTTCATACTTATAATGACCGATATATAGTTTTTATTGTGCTTTTGTCAATATAATAAAACACTAATTTGCAAACCCTAAATTTAGAAAATGACAAAATATATTGTAAATTTCTTTTTATTTTCTATCGGTGAAGATTTCAATTATTTGGAAATATATTATTCAATATGTAAAATTTATAGGAAATGAACTTATTTAGTAATTGTTACATATGATAGAAAACATTTAGAGCTAAATTGATAAATAGAGGCAATCAAAGTCATTTCCGACCATTTGTTTCTTAAGTATTAGGAAAAATAGTTCAAAATTGTCAAATTATATTTAGCTTTAACTTTTTTTAAAGTANATTTTGTGAAAAAACTATTCAAGATAGAATTTCAATATTTACTGGAAGTTTGAGACTATATGAGATGAGTCCTATGCTACCTTTTATTTGAAAATCTAATTAGAATTTAAAAGATTTTAAATTTTTAGTGATCAGGAATTATTTCTCGATCTTTTCTGGGGTAATTACTGATCACCAGTTTTTATAGTAAAGGGGCTGTTTAAAAATAATTATACAATGGTAATTAACAAATAAGACATCAAGATCAAACAAATGAACCAAAAATCTATTATCAACTAATAAAATGATTTATTTAAAAAGCAAGAATAGAGATTAATACTTTAAATTTTCCAAAAATCTTTGCTTCCTGCCATACATTTTAGGCAAACAGCCAACTCATTCTCATGTTCTGCTGGAATATAAGAAAGAGTTCCCACATGGGTTACTTTTGCTGGATTTTGTAACTTCATTAAGTGAGAGTGTAAAGTTAAGTAAGGTATGTCGACAGCTCTCACAATGAAATTTTCATTTTCAATCATTAAAAGAAATTCATTACTTTTGCTTTCTAGAAGCTTAGTATCTTTTTCAGGCTCATAATTTCTCACCATATTTATATAAGGCTGATTTATAAACTTAAAAAATTATTATTCTAACAATGTACACATGTAAAATTAAGATGGAAGCAAGGTAAGATAAATTAGAAATGGTGCAAATCAGAACACATTTGTCTTGTATACCGTTAAAAGCAAATTTTGTGATTACAGTTAAAATATATTTTGCAGTTGTTCCTCTTAATAAATATGAACTGTTATTTAAGAAAAGACAATTAGCAATTTATCATCTGTTTTTCATACTATTTATAAAAGGAAAAGACAATGATCAGGAATTACCCCAGTGATCAATTATTACCCCATCTGAAGGGGGCAACATTTGATATCCTATAATCAATTATAATGTTTACAGTAGATGTGAAACAATTAAGCAGATGCTTACACTATTTTCATATCAAAGAAGAAGAAAGTAACTCAAAATATTTATTATCAAGAGAAGAAGGGGGATCTTTGCAGAAATGTACACATTTTGAAACCCATCTTTGAAATGGAAAATACAGAAAGCAGTTTAAACGATAGGATTTTGATAGATTAAACAAAAAACTATTATTAAGTAAATGTAGTTATACTTTAGTAAAGTGTACAAGCATTCTTGTCCATGTCTTCAATTTAAAAAAAAAAAATTTGAAATTAAACTTAGGTGATCATTATTTACCCCAGAAACAGTGAACATGAATTACCATGGGTCACCCTAATAAAAATTTTCAATAATTTGGTAAACATAGGCTGAAAAGCGTTCAAAGGTATTTAATGAATTAAGCTCATGCTATTTAATAATTTAAAAAAGTGTTATAATCAGGGTTGGCAAGGTTTAGGACAGAATGGATTAATCCACGGTTTAAACCCTGGTTTAAACCGTCCTGTCCAAAACCCCTTTGTCCAAAACTGTCTTAAACTGTCCAAAACCCTTTTACTCAAATTATGTCACAATTTTATCTGAACAATATTTAAGAGGTAAAATAAACATAGAACTAATAACATATTGATAATTAAATATACTAGAGAATATTTGTTTTTAAAAGTATAATGTTTTATTAATATTGTTTGACTCTTCAATTTAAACAAAGGAAGATTAATCAGTAATCAAGTTCAATTGGTCCTCTCATTCAATAGTACATAACTGAAGTTTGGCCTTGCCATACAGGTTAAAATATTAGGGACTAAGTGCTTGGTTCGTCATAAACAGGTTTATTTATCTATAGTACTATTCAAGAATACTTTTATTTCATTCATGTTCAATTCTTTTAGCATAGTGGTGATACATCACCAGTGTCAGTAACTGAAACTGATGTTATGCCCTTCAAAACTGTTAATACATTTTTCAGTTATTTTGTATTTTCAATTTAAATTAATATATTTATATTTAAAAACATTTTTTTTAAAAATAGATGTCTTTTTTATCATCCTGTGATGCAGAAATTATAACATTTTTTTAAAAAAATATTGTGAAAAATAAAAGGTTAATTTTTGAACAAATTTAGTTTTTTTTTTAAGAAAAATTATTATTTTTTAATATTGCCATATTTATCCTTATGCAAAAATATTATTTATCAGTATTAAAAGCATATTTATATTTAAAGGATTAGGTATTCACTTTTGTTGTTCAATGAATTGTGGAGCTTCAAAAATTATAAACCTTTTCCTATTATATTATATTATTTTCTTTTAATAAGTTATAGTAAATTGTATAAAAAATATCAAATATTTATTGATACATGTAATTATTATGTGTACAATGGTTACACCTATAGAATTTTTACCTTTTACCAAAGTTCAAGGTTTTGGACACTTTAAGACAGTTTAGGACAGTATTACCCAGTTTAGGACAGTTTTACCCAGTTTAGGACAGTAAAACCCACGTGTCCTGTCCAAAACCAGTCTGGGACGTCCAAAACCCCAACCCTGGTTATAATATTCAATCAAGTAACATTTTTGCTTGTATAATTATAATATTTGTCTGAATAATTTTTATATCATTTCTTTCTCCCTCTTTTAATCTAAATGACCTATTTCTTAACTTATTGAAGTAATTCTTGAGTGAATTTTTTCAACTCCAACTCTGTTTTTCTGATGTTTTGCATTTAATTAACCACCTTGAATTTCACAGAAATAAGTTCAACATATGGCGCCAAATTGGTAAAATACCTAACAGCATGAGCTTTCGAATGAATGTAGAACTTGTATACGCTGCCCTTTATACAGATAATGGGTCCTGCTCTACCATGCTCTCTGCACTTGATTTTACGATTATTGGTGAGCTGTCAGAAATGCTACTTTGCATAAATCAGTTGTTCCTTATCAATTGTCAAGCAATGTATTATTATTATAAGCCATATTTGTGCTGTTTAGTTATAGACGATATAGTTCCTTTCGAACGGCTTTGCAATAAATTTTATAACAAGACTTTGTAGCAAAGTTTAGAAATCAAACAGTCTGTAAATACCCCCAAAACAGGACACAATATTTATTTAATAATATATCTCGACACAAACACATCATATTTTATTTTACTCTACATTTACAGATTTATACATATTGTTAGTAAAAAAAATTACATTATTTTAATTTTTTTAAATAAAAAAGCATTTCAATTTACAGCAAAACACTACGAAGTGGGCTTTAAACATAAGGCAATGTTGATATCACATGTACAAGCAATATAAATATATATATAGTGCATTCTATATAATTTGTAACAATTCTACTTAAGTTTTCATTGCATGTTAGAAGTAATTAAAATAATCTCATAATTTTTAAGAAATTTTCAATTTTTTTTAAATGCATAGTTATTTAAATGTGTTTGAAAAGATCATTTTTGTTTAACATCTCTATTTACAAGAATTTCAATTTAGTTATTATACAAATGTTTAAATACATCAAATAAAAATTTCAGCTCATCATCAATGTTTATATCTTACATCTAAATTAATTTTGAAATGCTGTGTACAATATACAGTGATTTATTATTATTATTATTTAATTAGAATAACATGTTAACTAATTGCAAACTTTTTATTCTTATATTTCTAACCTGAGTTTTTTTTATTATGTTACAAGCTGGTCATTATTTTTTACACATTTTAAATTTTGTATGTATATATTTACAATTTTTCATACCTATAATGAATGATATATAGTTTTTATTGTGCTTTTGTCAATATAATAAAGCACTAATTTGCAAACCCTAAGTTTAGAAAATGACAAAATATATTGCAAATTTCTTTTTATTTTCTAGCGGTGAAGATTTCAATTATTCGGAAATATATTATTAAATATGTAAAATTTATAGGAAATGAACTTAATTAGTAATTGTAACATATGATAGAAAACATTTAGAGCTAAATTGATAAATAGAGTATTTTTTAAGTATTAGGAAGAATGGTTCAAAATTTTCAAATTATATTTTTACTAGCTTTAACTTTTTTTAAACTAATTTTTTTACCTTAGAATATTAAAGTAAAAATAATTATTCAACTGATAAAATGTATCTTATTCAAATGATTTAGAAGTAACCATTGAACATTTTAAATATCAAAGTGTTAAGTGTGATTCGTTGGTTGAATAACTGACATTGAAATAATTTTTTTAAAGTGAACATAATACAATGTGTGTTAAATAAATATGTGTGCAATGCATCATTTTATTTTTTAAATATCTTTATATGAGCACTTGTGCCTTGTTATTGTTTTATTTAACTATTAACAGTTGAAATACTTCTTTGAGGTGATATATGAATATTTGATTAACTTTGTTGTTATATTTTCTTTTTTTAAAACTTCTTAGAATTGAGAGGTGTTTGATGTTTTAACATTTCGTATCTACATTTAACAGTTCTGTCCAAATTTTTCTAGTAATTCAAGCAACATTTTCTTTAAAATAAATTTCTTACTGGTATCACGACATTCTTTATTAAAAAACAAACTATTATAGAAAAGTTACACCTTAAGTACTAATGGGCTTAAAATTAATACAGTGCACTCTCGATATCTCGAAAACCTTGTTACGTCAAAAAAATATTTTTCCTCTTGGAATTATGTATTCGCCTAGCTAATTTGAATTCCTATGTTCAAGAGTTTCTTCTCAAAACCTTGTTACGTCAAAAAAATATTTTCCCCCTTGGAATTATATATTCACCTAGCTAATTTGAATTCCTATGTTCAAGAGTTTCTTCTCAAAACCTTGTTATCTGGAATTTTTGTATATATATATATATATATATAGAAATGTTATGTCGAATTTTTGTATATAATATAGAAATTGAATTTTTTCAGAAAAATCACAAAGTAAGTTTATAGTAAACCAATTCTTTTCTATTTAATGCATAATTATTTTTGTCTTATTTTTAAGAATAAAATTATCATTGTTGTATTTAGACTTATAGTTAACTATATTATATACATATTTAATAGTAGTTATTCTTATGTTTCATCTTTAATTTTACGAGTTATATTTTAGAATATATGTTTTTATTTTTTAGGACATATTTAGTTCTGAACTTGTTATCTCAAAAACTGGCCATATCGAATTTTTTTTTGTCGTCTCTTCAACTTTGAGATATCGAGAATATACTGCATTAAAATTTATTGTACTCTTCTTTTTTACAATTACATGAAGATTTATAATGTTTTTTATTTAAAAAATACAAACTAAAGAAAGTTCACGATGACTGAATATTTACACACTGTTTCCTTATAGCGGAATGAGTATGTAAGTGAAAATTTTTATGTGGTTATAAATACACAAGAGTAGTTAGAAATACGCTGCAGATAAGCTCAAATGTTGTGTCTAAAACACTCACATTAAAACTCATCCATTTGGAAAATCTTTTCAGTTAAAGCAGTTAATGGGTACATATTTTCTGACAATTCCTGATCCTGGTGCTATAGTTTATACAGTTCTTTTCTGTTGTGATTTTAAAGTTTAAAAAATGTTAGAATTAAAACTTCCTGGAAAAAGATGTCTGCATAATGTCATGTGAAAATGCAAAATATCAACCCAACTTAACACTAAAGCTCTGACAGAATCCCCCAAAAAATAAATAATGCAGAATATGTAACTGGGATTCACAGAAATGAAAACCCATCCCTCATTATTAAAACTACAGATACACTCCTCAAAAGTGAAACAGTCAAAATGTGTACAGTCAAAATGGGTAAGCCAGATTGTAGGTAATTAATGGTGTTCATTTTTTCTTGAACTAGTTGGGACAGAGAGGGGATTTACTAATGAAATATTACATAGATTAAGTTATGTTGCTGCAATGGGAACAACAAAAAAAAACACGTTTGCTTAAAATATTTTCAAAATTTGTTAATGCAGAATATAAAAAAATAATAATAACAATTAATAGTAATAATAAAAAATAAAAATAAGCAAACTAAGTAATTTGAAGTAAAAAAATAATTTAAAAAATTTTTTAAAGAACTTATTTGCATTTTCACATGATATTATACCGCTTAAATGATATATGTGTGCCTAAAATTGTAAGTACTTATAGTGTTATTCCATTCATGCTAAATGGCAGTTTCTGTGCTATTAAGCATGCAAAGTTCTTTCGCTATTCGAATATTGTCGCAGTCTGGTAATAAACTTCGATGCTTTGGTGCATGTTGACACCTGCAGGGGGGAAGAGGTCGTTGGTAATCAGTTTGGATGGCGACATTTCTGAGTTCAAGATTTTTTGAATCTTCGTTTGTCCTCTGCCGTTTGAGTGTCGCAGCAGTTTTTCTTTCCAAACTTCTCTCTTCAAGAACCTATAAATTGAAGTATTTTTAGTAATTTGTTCATTAATAAAATATATAAATAATCTTTTAACCCCAACCCACACAGAAGACCGTTGCACAGGGGTTATAAGGAGTCAGAATGGTTTTAAAGGCATGAGAAAATAACTACTTTCATGCTAATAGTGCCATTGCAAGTAATCTTGTTGATAGAAATTGAAAGTAAAACTGTGAGCTTCGTTAACGTGGGGATTTCAGATAAATAAGAAATAAGTTTCACGAATCGTCAATTTAAATTTAACTATGTTAGAAATATTCTGAGAAGTTTAAAAAAACAGTAATTTTGCTGATGGGTAAACTTTTTGTCCTGTGTCAAATTTTGAGAGTAGTCGTAGCAATTTATTTTGTTTGTAGCAATTTTATTTGCAGTTGTAATAATTTATATTGCCCACCAAGACACTCGTGTGTAAAACTATTATATTTTATGGCATTTTTGCAAACGCCAGTATTTTCACGACATGTAATGATTTGCATTTTTCCCCTTTTTTACCCTCCCCCCTCTTTTACATTATATTATAATTCTGTTTGTGTTTTCATGCAATGCAGTTGCAATACCAAGATTTCAGAAAATGTTATTCGATTTTGTACTTTTATTTGAATGATATTAGTACTTTAAATGTGACTGTTAACACTAGATCTAATCAAAGAGAATAAAAGATTTTATTTCTGCTATTTTTATAAAATATATTTTTAATTTTTGTAAGAAAACAGATAGAAAAATTTATTAAAGGTAGTTTGATGGTTTAATCATTTGATGTATCTGATTGCTGCAGAAAATGGCGTATATATGAAAAACACTTATAGGCAAAAAGTGTTAGTTACTATTTATTTATGCAAACCTAATATTTCTTTCTGTTGATATCACTATAGTTTTAAAAGAGCCGTGGAGGCTCAGGGGATAGAACGTTTGCCTTCCAGTGTGGTGAACCGAATCGAATCTCAGCCATGGCTGGTCGATATGAATTCCGCACCCGGCTCGCACCAACCACAATGCTGACTTAAAATATCCTCAGTGGTAGACGGATCATGGGTTAGAATCCCCTTGCAGTTAGGCTAACCGTGGGGGATTCCGTGGTTTTTATCTCCATGTAACCCAAATGCGGTTTATCTCCTTAAAAAGTCATCCACGAAGGCAAATTTCTCCCATTACTTGATCAAGGAGTTCCCTTGTCTTCTGGATTGGTTCAAAATTACGAGGCTATGGAGTTGAACATTGAAAGCCGTAAACCTTAAATTGGATCAGCTGTTCAACGACAATTATGAAATAAAATATAGTTTTCAAAAAAGTATAGTGCATTGATTTCAGGTTCAAAAGATATATTGAAAATATTAATGCATTATGATACATAAAACTGTTTTGTTTTTGCAAAATAAATCCTAACAATGAAACACTTGTGCTACCACCGTTCTTTAAAAAAAAAAAAAGTAAGAAAGAAAGAAAGGCTAGGCAGTAATGGGTTACTAATTATGATTTAAAAATTATGTAAATCCCGAAGGCGTATTCAAAAAGACATAAAATAAACGGAACGCACAATTTTGCTTTCATTGTTGAATTCTTTAGTAAATTCCACGTTTAAAACTGTTTATAAATTATTTTATTGTCTTTCGTTTATTTTTATTTTATGGAATTCGAAGCAAAAATTTAGTTGTAAAGTTTGATATTCATTTTATTTTATAACCGTCGTTGAACAGCCGACCCAATTTTGAGTTAACGACTGCCAATGTTTAATTCCGTAGCCTTGTAATTTTGAACCCAACCCAGAAGACAAGAGAACCTGATCAAGTATTGATTGAAATTTGTCTTCTTAGAGAACTTTTTGATGGAACTAACCCTCATTTGCGTTACACGGAGAAGAAAACCCATGATTAGCCTCACCGCAAGGAGATTCTATCCCATGATCCGTCGGCTACCACTGAGAATATTTTACGTAAGCACTGTGTCCGGTGAGAGCCAGGTTAACGGATATATTAAATAAATATCTGCGAAATCAATTCTCATTTAATTTTCATTATCACTTTTGAAAAGTATTTTTCAAAATGCTTGATGATACTAATGCTTACTTTCACGTTTTTTGGGAAGATTTTTTTTATAGTAAATTTATTTAATAAATTTGAGATAGTTTTCAAAATTTGTTTGATAATTTTAATTAAATAAACAATTTAAACACAAAGCGCTGGAAAACCATGCTTTGTGTAGTGATGTTATTAAGAATTTGCGGACAATGAAAAATATTGTGCTAAGAAGTGTTTGTTCAATTGTTATTTCACTATGAATAGGAAAACGATGCTCCTCCAAAAAGCTCAAAAATTGACATTTATTCTATTGCATTTATAAATATGCTGTATTATTATAAAACTATTTGTACGATGTAATAAGTATTTGTACATCACGTTTCACTTTTCGTGGCTTTTGTTGGCTACAGAAACGAGGCAAAGATAAATGCAAACGGATTTTAAGAAGGTTTGAATTAACGGGTTAGATTAGAAGAAACCACATCCCAAGCCTAAGACCTGAGATCATGGAGAAGTTTACAAGGCACCAAGGTTCATAAGGCACCAAGCTTATGGGCTTGGTGCCTTATGAAGAAGGCAAAGAATGGGGTTGAAGAGCCCAGTTATTATGCATTTATAAGTAAAAGTGATCCAGGGTGCATAGCGTTTTTAAAAAGTGCTTAAAGGTGCTTATTTTTGTTTTTTTAAAAGCCCTTAAAGGTGCTTTTTCCATTGGGTGTTTTTAAAAAGTGCTTAATTTTCCCTTCTCCAAAATTAGATTTTTCCTTTACTATGTTGATTTTCGCAACGAATTATGCAGAAAGACACTGTTCACATTGTTCTATTCAACGTTTTCACAATTAATTCAATCTAGTTCGGCTTATCGGCAGTCCGTAGCTTATGAAAACGCCATTCGATTTACATGATTAAAAAATTTTGACAATTGTCAAAAACAATGCCGAAAGTATTTTTTTATTTTTTGGCATGACGGTTTAATCCAGATAAGAACGTCAATTGTCAAAAACTTTCCAATCCTTCCTATTTGTGATTTTTTTACAGTGCTTAAAAATATTATTTGAGTGTTTAAAAGGTGCTTATTTTTTGTGGAATAATTTGGCTGCGCACCTTGTGATCCTATTTTTTTAAATTTACCTTGGCTATAATTGCAGCTGATACATGGTCTGGGGTTATTTCTTCTGTAACAGTTGCTACTGTGGAAGGTTGAAAGTTGTTATGTGATGCTGGCGTTTTGTTTACTGAGTAGACCATAGCTGCTGGAGGTAATGTCGGTACTGATACTTTGATTGTTCTCACATCTGGAGGACACTGATCAAGTAGAAGAGAACAAGATGAGGCACGGTTTTCCTTCTGGGGACGAGCCAAATGCCGCTTGACTTTTGCCTGAAAATCTGCTGGCAACTGAAATAGACAGTACAAACAGTCAATGGTAGGAAATAAAATAGTTTGAAAAATAAACAGAATAGAATAAAATGTTTGTTAATTATAGTTGTACGCGGCAAAAGTGTATAAATATGTGTAGTGATGGTAATATAACGTACTTGGAAATGTTTTGAATTTAATGAACAAAATTTATTAGAAAAAAAGAAAAGTGTTTCATGAAATTTTTAAATTTCTCAAATTCTCTCTTTTAGTTTTACAAAATTTAATTGAATTTTTATCGTAATTACCCTGAATATTAATAGCCGTTAACTATTAAGTTTTTGTAACAGTAAAAAAAACTGCTCGAAAATACAAGTATTAAATACTTTTTATCAGTAAAATTCTTTTTATACTTCTGTAGTTCTACAGTTATTAAGAAGATCAAATGTGCATGCAAGCAATATATCTGCACAGCTTTACTTACAAAAAAACTATTAACTGTTAGAAAGGAGAAAAAAAAACACCCAAAAGTAAATAAAATAGCTGGAATCAGTAACAAAATTATAAAGTAAAAAACAAAAAAGAAAAAGATTTAAGTTAAATTAATATAGGAATATGGAGGAAAAATTTTTTTTTAAAAGAAGCACACTTCTTTTTTAGCAACAAAACTGTTTAGATACGATGGAAGTAACAAATTTTAAACAAAAATGTAAAAAAATAAATATAGTAATGAATAAAAATAGTTGAGAAGATCAAACTCCAAGGACTGAAGCTCCAGACGATAATTAATGTATAATAAAGTAAAAAAAAAAACTTTTAAAAATTGACTAAGAATAAGAAAATTATTTTATTTTTGTCTGACTTCATACGAAGAACTTGAAGCTCATTACTTTTAAAATGCTTGGGAGGCGAAAAAGTGATACCTGATACCTACTTCGTTTCCAGTTTGATAAAAATAATATTTTCTTCGTTTTTACTTTTTTCTACTTCGTAGATGTGGTTTTTTAAAATTTATTTTGTTATTTTTTTCCCTTTTTGTTTTGTGTTTTTTAGCTTGAAAAAGAGTTTAAATTGTGGTGTTTGATAAAAAGAAAGAGTATTTTTTTCTCGATATTATGGAGAAACAATACGATACATTTTAATTGTAGATGTCAGAAAACAATTGAAACTTGTGACGTCATCAGAACGATAACATGATACTAAATTCTATTATTAGAGGTCAAGAAAGAATTGAAACTCGTCACTAGACATGGAGTGACAGTAGCGATTCAAATGCTCTATCTAGTCTAAAAGTGGTAGGTTTTTCGATGAAAGATTCCACTATCGAGGAAGAGTGATCGATTTAATAAAAACATAGTAATTACAAAGAATTGCGAAGTGGCAGCTTAGAGATTCTCTAACACATCACTATTGACAGTTGCATTCAAAACTCATGATCTAACTAAGGGGTTCTAACTTTCGACCCTTCTCCCGACCATACTATTGAGACTATATTTCCCTATATTTTGGGGATAAGAAATCATTATTCGTCGTAAAAAAGCATGTTTATTTAGAAAAAGTACGTTTTTGTGTTTGATTTCGAAACTTAAAATATCACGTGCAATAACTAATTAGCATATTTGAAATCATCCTCTCAAACTTTTAAGATAGTAGGTAAAAATCCAATTATTAGATCAAAAGTTATTCATATTTTTTTTTACTTCCTCCTGTACATCTCTGACCAGGGTGAGTTAGTTTTATAGAGTTGCTACTTTTGTAATGTGGACTGAATTTTCAACTGACTTCTAGTATAGCATACACCCAGATGATTTCCAAACCGTGTACCGACCAATCTCTGGAGTGTCATGTGAAGGATGACGAAATATTCCCATGATTTTTTATTCTTGAAAGTTTTTCGAAACATTCTATGGAATGCCTATTCTTTAAATGTATGTCCTAAAATCAACCAGTTATGCATGGAATAATTAATATTTCACTCATTGTTTAGCCATTTTACAGAATGATTAATGATATCCAGTAAATACGAAACAATTAATATTCCCCACATTGCCTAGGCATTCTGTACTATGATCAATGTCAACCGCAAATTATAAAATGATTAATATTTTTCACATTGCCTAGGCATTCTATAGAATGGCTAATGAAAAACATACCTACATTCTACACATTGACAAAAGACTATAGGCAAAGTATATAATTGTCATATTTGATACTTTGCCTAAGGAGCTTCTGTCAATTTATAGAACGGCTAGGCATTCCATAAAATGGCAGGGTAAACTACATAATAATTCTCACATTTTATACTTTGTTTGAACGACCAGGCTTTCTATAGAGTGTCAGGATTTTGTGCATCGACATTACGTGATCGAACAGTCTTAAAATATGGATAAATCATTTTCTTTTAAGGATGACTTTAAAAGGATTGGGAACCCATCTGGTATACATGCTTTCAAAATTGAAGTATCAAAGTAATGCTTAAAATTTGTATCCCTTGTACCAAATGGTATGTTTCTGGTATACCTTAATTTTTCAATTGAACAATTAATTATAATTAACTACTTTTTCCAAAAATAAATTTGCCGTTTTGATTAAAGGAAATATTTAAATAGATTCTTATGTAAAAGTTGTTTGTAAAATTTTGCGGCCGCTGGTGAGGCGCATTATGGTGGTACAGATTTTCCTACTTAAAGAAAGGGTCAAGTTTAGGCTTGGTCTACTACACCAGTACCCGTGGCGAATAGGAGGTATTAACCAATCCTTTTTCAATTTGAGATTGTTTCTTTGAGAAGGAATGCAGCATCTGTGCTTTTGTTAGTCCTAAGACCAGAACACCAGTAAGTATAGTTTGTCTACTGTAAGAACTCCTCCCGACACCAAGTCTGAGGCTGTCTGCTGGCATGGAACAAGAATATCGCATTTCAGGGAAGATAGCTTCTCTTCACTTAAGGGCTCACACAATAGACTGAAGAAAAGATTCCCTTTCTCTCGTCGACCCGAACCCAATACCTGTCCTAAGCAATGATCCTACACCCTACTTGAAATAGTTATACCTCGTTACTATAGTCACCACCACTGGTCCAGAGTAATGGATGGGGAAGTTCTTACTTTAGACAAACTATAGAAGACTGTCTTAGCTCCTTCACCTGTAGACAGTTAGCTGGTACACTGGAACGGCCTTTACCCCTTTGGTGGCTCTTCCAGGAGAATTTTCTCCTGACGTACCCCGTTCCTCCCAGGGGCACCCTCTCGTCACGATGAGGCCACCTACAGGACTTAAAAGGGGACTACCTTCACATAATTAATAAAACATGAAAGAAATTTTGTCATTCAAATTATGCGTCACTTATCACTGCACTGAAAAAGCAAGATTTCCCAATCTTCTTGCGCAACTCAATATGAGAAGGGGAAGAAAAAAATATAAGTTTTTTTNGAGAAAATAGTAGTAGTGGTTTACTTTTTTTTTTTTTTTTTTTTTTTTTTTTTTTTTTTTTTTTTTTTTTTTTTTTTTTTTTNGCCCTTTTTTTTAAATAAATAAAATTTTAATGGAACACAAATATTTTTAATTTGGGGTATAAACCTAAGAATTAAAATTCAGTTTCAATGAAATGGGCGGCCTGGTACCATTTGATCCACGGACCGGTACCGGTCCTCGGACCGGGGGCTGGGGAACACGGACCTACAGGACTTAAAAGCGGACTACCTTCACATAATTAATAAAACAAGAAAGAGATTTTGTCATTCAAATCATATGTCACTTATCACTGGAAAAAGCAAGATTTCCCAATCTTCTTGCAACAACTCAATATGAGAAAAAATAAAAAATAAAATATTAGTTTCTTATAATAGATATTGTTCTATATTATTTCAGCCGATTTTACGCAATTTCCCTCATTTGAATTGCTGACTTGTATTTTTGGAGGATATTTTTCTTTTTTATGGAAATAAAATAATAATTGCATTGATAGAATGAAAATTGCATTGTAATTTGAATGTTTAAAATTCGTCAGCATCTAAAAACACTTTATATAACGATGGTCAAAATCATTTCAATCATATTTGGTAAATTCAAAATGAAATACTAAAACACAAATTTTACTTTCTCATTAAACATAAAAATGAAGTTTTCTGGGGAAAACAAGTAAAGTTGGCAGCTATGTGTTTTATTTCTAATGTAGTTTAATAAAATTCTACGCTATTAAATTTAATACAGAACAACTTTGTTCAGTTCGATTTTAGTTCACATTTCCTTTCTCGATTGAATTTTCGTAGATTTTATTATATTTCATTCGATAATGTATTATTCGATTCCATTTCATAAGATTTTACTTGTTTACATTCCATCCAATTTGGTTCTATTTCATTTAACACAATTTAGTTAATATTGATTTCATCTATACTTCGAATTCAATGTCTTCTTTTTCGTTTTCCATTCAGTGACATATTCCATCCTATCTTGTTCAATTGCTGATCGATCCTAGTTGCTTCGATTCAAATTAGTTATATTTTATGATTATTTCATTCCATTCAATCCTGTTCAATTGTTATTCGATTCAATTTAGTTATTGTATGTTCTGTATTATTTCATTCCATCTTATCCTGTTCGATTGCTATTCGATCCCATTTGCTTCGAATCAATTTCGTTTGTAGTCAATTCAATGTTGTTTCGTTCAATCTTGTTCCCTTCTAATTCGATCCCATTCGATTCAATACAATTTAGCTATATTTAATTCAATATTATTTCATTCGACTGCATTCCATGCTATCCCATTTAATTCAATTTGGTTACAAATTATTCAATGTTATTTATTCCTTTAAATGTAATAAATCGCTTGGTTCTAATTGTGTATGTCAGATTAGTTTTTTTTCCAACTTTATGCTGTATAATCATTCAAATAAAATACACCAATTATTAATTATTTCAAAAATAATAATTATAAAGTTAAATTATCACCAACTAATTACTTACAGAATTGAACTTATGGGCCACAAAACTTGACGGTTTGCACTGTAGCAAGCGAACAGCAATGTTGCAATCATTCCTGTATTGTTCCTACAAAGAAAAAAAAAGAGACAAGTCTTAGTAAAAAAAATGCGTTTAAGTACAGTGGACAGAGAAAAAAAGTACTTTCCTGAAAAACTTCTGTTCTAATGATCGAATATTCCCAAACTAAGCACAATATTAATAGTTCAAAGGGCTGGCTTCAAATATGTAAATTAATTAGCATAAAATGGTTGAAATAAATCGGGAATATCGATTATTAACATTATTTTCACAGCTGAATGCTACAGCGCATTGTATAACTTTATTTTGATGAGTTGAACTTCTTAGAATTTAGTTTTAATTAATCTAAATGGGTAAAGTCTCCGGGAAGTACTAAAAAATGATAATAGTAAAAAGTAAAATTATTATTATTTTTTTAACTGCATTGGTATATATAATCAATTTTGTATATGATTGCGCAGTATTAATGGATAGGTTAAATTTACTTTTTTTCACCCCGTCAAAGTACTGGTTATTTCTTTTTAAAACTTCAATGCCGTTCATGCTTGGCTGCAGAAATTTCTTAAGCAGACACAAGCAGTAATTATAACAATCGATCCTAAAAAGCGTTTAACAGTTCGAATTAGCTCATGTAAAATATTAGTTTATCTGTTAAAAAATATATATATTAACTTGTATAAAGCATTGTTGGATACAAATTGCACGAGATTTTTTCTTCCTTCTTTTCAATATTTAAAAGATATCAAAAATTAGTGCTAGCTCACAGTTAAAAAAACGTATTTCACAGGGAGTTTATTGGGCGTTTTGTTAACGGCTATCTAGCCTTGATTTTTTTCTGTCAGGTAAGTGCAAGTTAAATCAACCTTGATGGTATGCAGTACTTTGAAAAGTGTTTGAAACCACCTAGATCACACAGATTGACACAGGGATGTCATAAAAAAGTAAAAAATGGTCACAACAGTCACTAGTGTGATCGTTTTGAATAGACCCAAGGAAATCATAATGTGACTTTAATGTTACTGTGTTTTGTGATATCTCAAGGAAGTCACCACTGCTACTTATTGATTGTGACTTATGTCACTTGGTAGTCACAAGTATACTTAACTGGGACTAAATTCTATGAGAAACTTTGTTGCACCTTTGATCCCTTGCACGTAGGTCCATTTCATGACTTACTTGTCTTTCTTAATTTGGGGTATTTTCTGCAACTTGTCTCATTAAAGCAGACCAGTTACTTCAAAGTCTTTTAAGCAGTTTTTTGCCATCTCTTAAAATTAAATATGTGAATCACAAGAGAGTCATGAATACACACAACAATTACATTCACGCCTGATATTTTTCACATGTCTCCAAAGGTTTCTCAATATGATTTTGAAAAAAATTTTTTTTTTCCATAAACGTGTTTGTTAAAAAATTGCATACACTAATGCTCACAGTGTCAGAATTTTTTTTTCTCAAATGTTAGCATACACCTTCCACAAATTACCCAACAATATTTAAATAAATATATTTTAATATTATCGTTTCCTTCCCTTTTTAATATAGATGAATACACTTATATTATTTTCTTTACGATTCATGTTAGAAATTTCACAACACAGCAGTTATAGTCACAAACGTTGATAAGATACATTTTATTAAAAAATATTATTGCAGTGGAAGAAAAGTTTTTGATGAAAAAAAACATTTTTGTAGTCTTTTAGTTTTGAATTAAATGCTTTATTCTATTTTGAGAACATTTGGATTAATATTGATAATGTTTATACTAAAAGATTTATTTTCAGGAAAAAATGAAGACAAATATACAATAGAATATGAAGTGCCTAAAGTTGAAGTATATATTGTGCACAGACACTTAGTGATTTCTAGGAATAATCGGTAACATCTAATTGATATTAGTTCGAAAAAAGCAAACGATTTTGAATCAAACGTGAACTACAGCTGCCATCATTTTTTTAACCGTCAGCATGTTTTTTTTCTTCTAATGAGTGGCTTAAATTATGGAAGTAGATGCTTTGGTGCTATCATTTAAAATTGAAACTATATTCGTCCGTAAAACATGTTACGAGATTACAATTCATTGATTTGTGTTGAATCCGTTGAAAACGATTACATATATCTTTTGCTTTATAAAAGCTTTGTTCTACCTATGTTAAATGTTATTTGTTTGCTGTTGACTTTTGATGATGCTTAGTTTCTTAGTTGTAATGTATTATTTGGTGAAGAAGGAAGAACAACTGGATACTCTATGCCAGATCTTTAAAAATTGTTGTCTCTTTTTGACATTGTTCGTTTGAATAAATAAACGAAGACCTCATATGATAATTTTACACACGATGATGTCACCAAAAATTGAATATTTCACAATGTGATCACTTTTGTTGAATGTTGTATGTAAACTCGGAGAAATTTTGGTCCCTTTATGGTCTGGTTAATAGCCATTATATTCCAAGACTGTGATTTTAAGAAGCTTTGAGCTTTCGTAGTAGTTATTTAGAAAAAAAAAGAAACTGATTTCTCAACTTCCTAAGTTCCATTTTGTTCGATCACGCAACAAAAAGAGAAAAAAACGTATAAAAGAGGTAAATCCTGCTTATTTATTATTATTATTTTTTTTTTTTTTGCATATACGCTCTCATATTAGAGATTACCACGGGAATATACTAGAAATTTGTAATTTATGGTTAATTAGAATAAATTAGTGTTTTAAGGTTGATGATTAAAGAAAATTGATACGTTTTGAATTCCCTCTCGATTTTTTTAAGTCTATTTAAAGTTTTTATTTACCTATTTAAGTTGTTTAAAGGTTCATTCGTTTTCTAATATTCTTTGGACGTTTTTTTTGTTCGATTAAGTCAATGTTATTCCATTTTTATAATTTTTTTGTTTGTTTTTTTCTTTATTTTTATATTGCACCTCAATCGACAATATTTTTTTTATAGTTTTCATTTTCTGATCTAGATTGATTCATTTCGTGAAGTAATTAATTTTTTGCATGTTTTTTTAAATATTGTATACTTTTTTTTTCACATTTTTATTAAAAGTTAAGAAATTAAAATTTTCAAATTTCCTTTTAAATTCAAACTCTTGTTTATTTAAAAGCAAATGTCCTTCCAAAATTATTTTAATGGTTCAATTTACAATTCTCACTATACACAATTATTTTTTTTTAATATTATTGTAAATAAATACATTTTTAGCATTATCATTGCTGATTTTTCAAAATGAACTAGACTCATTAGTATGTAGCTATTGAAATCTATACCTTATAGACATAATTTTTAAATATTGTAAGCCTATTTATCCCTGTACACACAAATAACTGTTTGACATTATTTACATATTTTTAAAAGCGGTTTTTAGAAAGTAAAATATGGTAGCGTTTTATTAATACTAATTTCTTGTTAAAATTTATTAATATTTTTTTAATTCTTATTTCTATTCAGAATCACAATGTTTACTGATACTCTAGTAAGTTAGGTAGTATTTTTCAGCAATAATTATGGTACAATATTATTGAAAATAAAACACTAAAAAAAACTAAATTCTAGAGTTTAAACTCTATGTAAAATTTTTAAAAGTCCAAGTTGGAATGATTTAAAAATAAAATAAATGCACGGAATGCTTTAAAAAATCAATAAAATTTAAAAATTGATTATGCAATGAATATTCAATACCGTTATAGAATATTGAATATTCAGTAACACTGTTACTAGATTGCAACAAAATGGGATAGTCACGGGGACTAGATTGTAAAGTCACTTCGGCGACGTCAACGCGTGAATCTAAAAAGGTTACTATACCCGCCTTTCGTGTCGTCACATTTTGACGTCACCCAGACGTCAACATGAGACCACAATGGAGCATTTAATTGTCACACACGTAAAAGTGTGACGAAAATATGACAAACTCAGAATTCAATAGGGTCACGGTGAGACGAAACGGTGACGTATTTACGTTTCAACTGGGTCACCATGTCACGAAGATGCAACATATTCACGTCTTGACAGGGTTACCATGTGACAAAATTGAGACATATTTACGTCTCTATAAAACGTCTCTCTCATCGTGTGGCGAAGATGTGACATATTCACGTCTCAACAGGGTCACAGTGTGACAAAACTGTGACATTTACGTGTCAACAGTGTTTCCGTGTAACTAAGTTGCGACGTGAATACGTTACATCTTTTTTGTACGGTGAGGTCACTGCGACAATTATGTGTCTCATTGTGGTCTCGTGTTGACGTCTGGGTGACGTCAAAATGCGACGTCCCCCCAAAACCCACGTCCCCTTTAAAAGCCCAAGCCTCGACGTCGCAGAGGTCACATGTGACTTGTGACAAACGAGTTTCCGTGACTGTTGCATTTTTGTTGCAATCTGGTAACGGCGCTATCTGGGCACTTGATTAATTTGTTTATGGTTACATTTTAGAAACATGTTTCTATAAATCTAAAAAACGTGAAGTACACGGCAATTGGAATGAAAATAATAAGTTCTGTACTAAAGTGCAAATTAAACGAATTTTTTTGTTGTTGATTTTCTTCATTTTTGGTGTCGTATTAAACTGAGTGTTGTTAATTTTTTAGAGGTTTCAAAAACGCATTTCTCTTAATACTTAATCTAATAATGTAAAGTCACCGAAAAGAACCAAAAAAATTTTTTTTACAGTTTGTCGGTATATGTACTTTGCATGACTGCAAAGAGTTAATTAATAACATTTTATTGATTATGTACATTTTTTCCTTTCGTATGAAGAACGAATATTCAGCTAATAAATGATTAAACGATACGCCTTTCACTTTTTAAGAATATAAATTATCGCATTTTAAAAAAAAATATATTAAAATGATGAGAAATTTACTTACATTTTCTTCTTCAAGTTCTGCTATAGTAAGCCTCGCTTCAACTAAGCGAGATGTTAAATCTGAAACATCTCTTGTAAGGTCGGATTTTTCATTTTCAAATTTTTCTGCCTAAAAAAATGTTTGTTCTTTTAAGCTTGAAGAAAATAATATAGTTAACTATTCTGCAGAAAAGTATACATAGAATATGTAATTTAACTTTTCATGAAAGAGACCCATAAAGTTTACTACTCTACACTATTAATTATAACAAGTGTTAAACAGAGCACATAAAAACCAAACAGCCCGAATAGCTTTTCATCTACTGCTTGGATTTTCACGTAATAGAATTCGATCTTAACGATTCGAGAAGTTATATTTAAAATATACTAATTAATTAATGCTGGCGATATTTGAAATTAAGAAATCAGACAGAAAATGTACTTATTCAGAATAAGCATACATTTTTTTCGACCGTCATGGATTTTTGACCCTTAAAATATGGAGGGGGTGAATATGAATCAATAGTTCAAATCATCGAAAGCGTGAACCCCTTACTGTTAATTTCACCTGTTACGTATTTCGTCGGCCGGGATAGACTGGTCGGTAGGGCCTTGAGCCCATGTCCAAGAGGTCGTGAGTTCGATCCCTGACGGCCGAAGACTTTCCGTGTGCAAAATGGTGACTGGTGTGTGCTAAACTGTCGGGGTCACAAAGTCCTAAAAGTTCCTATAATAAATCAATAACTCTTGGGGGTACTGGTTCTGAGATTGATCATGCACCGGTACAGGTCAAAATTACGATCTGCAGATGAATGGTGTGTGATTGTGTTCGAGCTGTAAAACGGGCTGTCACGTATGTTTGTGGCGGAAGACAAATACTTGGACATAGATGGCGCCACTGGAAAACAAAAAAATAGGCTTGTCAGTATTGACAAGTGGCATAAGACAACAATGTTTATTGCCCTATATCCGAAACTAATGAAGTGAATAAAATTAAAATTTCATACGAGCATAAGACATGTTTTGTCAAAGATAATTACATGCAAAAATTATTTTTGTTTTTGTTTATTTTAATAATGAGCAAGAGTCGTGTGTCGCTTTCTCAAAACCATGGGAAAATGTTCGTTGTTGACGGAAGTTTACAACGAAAATAGAGCTCTCTACATTTTTCGTTTAAGATTTGACAGAAATAATTTTTTTTTCCTATTCTTTTAGTCAACTTAAGAAACGTAGGCTTTAAAATTTTCTATTGTTTTCTTCGTTTTAACTTTGTGCCTGTTAGTTTAGGTCGAAAAGTGGTCACACTTTCTATCAGAGATTATTTTTGCTTCAGCCGTTTAAGAAATGATTATAACTTGCATAAGCATTGGGCACTGAGTGTTCTGGGTAATATTTTAGTACTCCAGCTAGTCTAAAAGAGGTCGAGATTTTGCTTGATGATAAATTCTATTAGTAGATACATTTCAATTGTAGTAGTCTAAAAATAAAACTTGTATGACAATTTAGTACTACTCTCCAGCAAAAAATTATGTATTTTAGCTGGTCTAAAGAGGGCAGAAGATTCACAACTGTGTGGCTTTTTTTTATACAGTGGTCAAAACTTTGACTTTAATAAATTCCATTGTCTAAAAACTCAGCTTTTAGTAATTATGGTTTGATTTAAAGTTTTTTTGTTATCCCGAACAAAGTTTCAAATGAAATACGAGCTCTTTAGTTAGTCGAAAATTTGATTATCGATTAATTTTAATAGGCAGCAAAATGATGATAAACTTTGCTTGTAACGGTCAGAAACGATTGTAACTTGCTGAAGTAAAAATATGAGTACTCTAACTAGTTGTAATGTAGCAAGATTCGATTTTATCCTAACAAACACGTCAACAGGTCACTTTTTAAACATGGTAATAAAAAGATTTGGTTCAGTTTTTCTAAGGTTAAAAAAAAAATCTCGATATCACTCATCGCTACTACATAGCTCGTTTAGACATAAAACAGTTAAGTACTAATTTTATAAAATGTTCTAAAATAGAGGTTCTTTATTAAAAATAGACATCAACAGAACATATTTGTAAAGAAAAAAGGAAGTAAGGTAATTAAATTTGCTCGAAAAGAAATTATTATTAAATTCAATGTAAAAAAATATCTCTAAGAAAAATGACAGAAGCAGTTCACGATAAAGAATGACAGAATGGTTCATTTAATTTTAATACTTACTACATGCAAAAGTTTCTCTTCCAGATTTTCATTTATCTTCTGCAGCCTTCTTTGATTTTCATATAACCTGCAGTTAAAATAAATCGATGTAAATTTTTAAAATCTAACGTTTTCTTTGTTCGATTTTGTGATGTCAACCTGATACTATATAAAAAAATAAATAGAGGCAACTTTTTTAAAAATCTTCAGAAAATTTGAAAATACACTAAAAATTAGAGAAAAAAAAGTTTTGGAGGAAATTTCTTACCACTTTGTTTATAAGATGTTTAAAGATATATTTTTACGCCGATTCGTTATTAACTCATTCTTAGCATGTAACTTACTCAATTTCAGCAAGAACTAAACTAACCAGTTTTGTCCCAACTTAATGGATTCTTTTGATACGATTTATTAAGGGGACCGGAGCATTAAATATTTCTTAGTCTTAAAATCCAATTAATTTTTTTTATTGATTTTCGATCTGGCATTGAAAGGTTTGTGCTAACGAGGGTGAATACATTATTCATTAAAAATTAAATCTTGATATTAAATGCACCGAAACGACTACTTTCCGGTCCCCCTAATAATTAGACATTTTTTACTGCTAACCGCTATTTCATTCAAGAAGTCACTGTTAGTTTAAAAAGTTAAAAAGAAAAATCATTGCTTCTTACAATTCTAGAACTAGTTACAGATAATTAAATCATTCATATATTCTGATAAGTGAGAATCTTTTAATTCTCAGACAAATGGTAAACCAGTATATGGGTTAACGTAACCCAGTAATGGTACTCCAGTACTGAAATCCAGTATATTATTTATAGTACATAAGCCCAGAAATATTAAACCCAGACAAATGATAACGAAAAAAATGTCCTACCACAGGGAATATTTTTGAAAAAAGCAACTATCCTAAAAATATGACGCAAGTTGTTAACTGGTTAAACTCTGGCAAAGTAAAAAAATTGCCTGCATAAATGATACTTATCCTAGAAACAGAAATATACCAGATAATATGTTCATTTCTTTTGGAAAAAGTAAACTATCTAAGACTATTACTTCATCTTTGAAGGTTTATACAGTATAGAAAAACACTATACCTGTTTTATAGGAAATGGTAGTCACTAAGAGTTTTCTTTTCTCTCTCTTTTTTTTAAAAAAAAAAAATTAAATTAAATGTTCTTACTACTTGTGATTCTTTTTAGAGTGAAATCCAGTAGTGAATGTAATTCATTCGGTTACTTGAAACTAGTATCTATCACAAGGTTAAATCTAATCACGTGGTTGTGCATGGTGTGTTAATGCTAAACTTAAGAATTGGGTTAAATATCGTGCTGAATAAATTTTTGAATCAGATTTAATTGAACAGACTTAAGTGATGTCTCACGTGTGTGTTGAACCTGATTGGCTGACCCNAGCAACATATATATATATATATATATATTAAAACTTAAGGATGATAATATAGTTCTGCTATTCTACCGAAAAGTAAGATTGTTTAACTATTCGTGAAAGAGATCCGTTAAGTTTACTTCTCTACACTATTAATTATAACAAGTGTCGACTTGAGCACATAAAAAGGCGAACAGCCCTAATAACTTTTCATCTAATGCTTGGATTTTAGCGTAATAGAATTCAATCGTAACGATTCGAGAGCCTATACGTTAAATATGCTAATTAATTAGTGTCGACGATATTTGAAAATAAGAAATCGATCAGAAAATTTACTTATTCAGAATAAACTTAGTTTTTTTCCGACAATTATAAATTTTCAACCCTTAAAATATGGAGGGGGTTAATATGGCCCCTATAGTTCAAGCCTTCGAAAGCTCCTTAATGTTAATTTCATTGTAAATGTAATTCATTTGGTTACATGAAACTAGTACCCAGCACATGTTTGTATCCAATTACGTGGTTGTGCACGTTCTGTTAACGTTACAACTTAAAAGTCTGGGATTAATATCACGCTGAATCAGTTTTCGAGTCTGACTTAATTTGATACCTGCAAGTGAGGTCTCAAGTGTGCGTCGAACCTGATTGGCTAACCCTACGCTTGACGTCGCTTGCCAACATCCAATTGTCATTTCTACTGAGATCTATCTCAGAGATAAATAGAAGTTGGAAGATATGAATCAGGATAATGTTTTTAAAATTAAATGGTAATTATTATTGGAAAGGAATTCTTATTTTCTTATATTAGTTTTAAGTTTTCTTTTAAAATAGCCTCATAAGATAGATTTTTCCTTTATATATAACCTTTCAGCTTAATTTCAAGTTTGCTTCGATCCCTAAAAATTACCTAAATTAAATGTAATTTTTATTTTATTTTATTGAAAATTAATTTTTTTAAACTAAATGATAGAAATTTGAAAAAAAAATCCATATTTTCTGTATAGATACATTTAATTTATTCTTAAAGATCAACTGATTTAAATTTTTGTCGATTATTTAATGTCTGCAATTGGCATTGTGCCAAAAGAGCAACCACATTATGAATTAAATAGTATTTTCGCCAAGGGATCCCTAATATGTAATTCTCCTTTCGTCAAAGCTTAACCCATTAGAGAAAACCTTTTGTATTTCCTTTGAATGATAAGTGAAAATTTTATTAATGGGTGTCATAGAAAGTGCCTGACATCATTTTGGAATGCTAAGAAAAGAAAAGAAAATTATTTTAATTTAAAGGGGAAATATTTTTTAACAGGATTGCATTTACCCGTTAATTAGCAGTAGCGTGATGATTTTATTTCTTTACTATTATATAAAATTCTTAGATTTTCCATCTTTACGCCATTGTTGAAACCTTTTTTTTTAAATTTTCTGTACGTATTTCGTGATTGAGTAGTATTCTTACCACTTCTTCCTGATTTTCTACATCTTATTTTAAGTTCAAAGCTGTAGAAAATTTGATGGTTTAGTTATTTTATTCTAATATTTAAAAATTTAATTCAGAAGAGTTTTAACCACCACTACATATAAATAAATTTAAATTTATTTGTATAATGCATCATATTTATTATTGTAGTTTAAGCTCAATATTATTTAATTGATCAATGTAATGTGACAGATATTATACTTAACAAAGGAGTTATTTATCTAAATCTCTCTGTAATGCATGCTATTATTTTATGACTTTTCATTATAGGTCCTACTAGAAGCGGTGGTGGCTCAGAGGATAGAGAGTTCACTTCCCAAAGGGATGACCCAGGTTCGAATCCCAGTGATGGCTGGTTGATCCGAATTCTGTTCTCAATTCGTACTACCGATCACAGCGCTGACATAAAATATCCTCAGTGGTAGACGGCTCATGGGTTGGAACCCTTTTGCCGTCGGGGTAATCATGGGAGGTTTTCGTGGTTTTCCTCCCCATGTAAAGCAAATGCGGGTTAGTCTTCCACGAAGACTAGTTTATAACAATGCTTGATACAGATGTTCACTTGTTCTCTGGATTGGGTTTAAAATTACAAGGCTATGGACATTGATAGTAGTAAACTCAGAATTGGATCGGCCGTTCAACGACGATTATAAAATAAAATAAAATATCGGTCTTACTAGGACCGATGAATCGGTAAGAGGCACTTCGCAGCAACAGAATTTGAAGTCTATTAATTTGAAGTCTATTTCTCGTGCCTCATAGACTTGCTTTATATATAACCGTGGTTGAGCAGCCGACCCAATTTTTGAGATGACGACTACCAATATTCGACTCCGTTGCCTCCTAATTTTAAATCCAATCCAGAAGACTAGGGAACTCCTGGATCAAGTGGTTGAAGAAATTTGCTTTCGTGGGGGACTTTTTGGTGAACTAACCCGCATATGCTTTATATGGAGAGGAAAACCACAACAACCTCACATGGTTAGCCTGATGGAAAGGGGACTCTAACCTAAAATCCGTCTACCATTGTGGATATTTTACTTCAAAACTGTGATCTGGTGCGGAATTCGTATCAATCGGCCATCGCTTGGATTCGAACCCGGGTCACCTTATTACAAGGCGAGTGGTCTATCCCTTGAGCCACCACGGCTCTCATAGAATCATGGAAATATCATGGGGAAAAAAATCGCGTTTTTTAATTGATTCACATTTTTTTATTTTTGGTTCCAATGTTTGGTTTATAATCCCAAGAGTTCGAATTTCGCAATAATCTGCTATAAACTTTACTCTTCAAACTTTCTAAACATTTTTCTGCAAAATTATTGTAATTAGTTCAACAGGATTAGAACTATTTCTTATATGAAATATACTTTAATATTTTCCCAAGCATAAATTGAAATGCATTTTAATTTATTTTAAATAATTTGTTTGAGAGAGGTCAGCCGGAACCAATTGCTTTTCTGTGTTTTTTTCTCTCTCACGTTCTCTTCGTTCTGTTTTGCGGATATCAATTGGATATTATAATAAATTAAAGTAATTGGTGTGAGTATTTGAATTACATCCAATAAACGTTGTATTTTAACCTTCATATATTATATACGTTTTTCTAAATAAAATTTAAAAATATGAAACAAAAGGTTGGACGAAAGCGAATTTCTTTTGTTTTGAGATATATTTGAAGGTATTTAGCGAAAGCAATTGCTACCGACTATCAAAGAAACTGTTAAGAAAGCCATTAGCAAAAATTCTTTGACCTTAACGTCCAACTGAGAAAATATGAGTTTAATCAAACAGTATGCAGGGAGCCAAGAATCAAGAACTCGTTATTTTCTTAATGCATTTTTCTGTTTTTTTTTCCTTATATAATAACTTTTTTTAATTTAGCGTTCACAATAACATTTTTCAATCGAGAAAAAAAAATGTTTTTAATAAAAATTTAAAGTATATCAGCTTTATATTACAGTAAGAATAAAATATAAAAAATGAATGAAAAACGGAAAAAGTAATTTTAGAATTGGAAAAAATATTAACCATTCTTCGTTTAAGTTAAATATTGTTGTGTTGCTAGCTAACAATTATTTCAAATCCAGGATCTGACATCGCAGAAGTTTAATTTTAAAATTATATTAAAAACTAATTTTATAATTTAAAATTAATTTTAAATTTAGGGACAAATCCTGGAAACACAAGTAAATTTTTCTCTAATTCCATAAACATTTCCTTTTCTTCTTTTGTTTCTTATACAAAGACTATTCTTATTAAACTGTCTAAATATTTTCAAATAGATTAAGTCTCCAATTTCTAAATTTTCAGTTTATAATTGCCAGTTTTTGGAAAAATTGTATTGTTGAGTATGTATTTAGAATGCGTAGTTTATTTTCGCCTTTATGTATTTTCGCCTTTTCAATGTCTCAATAACAAAATCGCACAAAAATATAAATTTTCCGTGCAGGAGAACGTTTGATAGTGTTATGTATGCATACTCCATCATAGTTTTTGATTTTCCATGAGATTCGAATTTTATATATTTGAATTTTTGCCTTAATATTTCATTCATGGTTTAATAAATTGGATTTAAAATGATTTTGATCACTACTTATAAATAATTTAAATAAGTATATTATAGGTCTGATAACACCGAGAAACATATATATCATACTTGCCAACTCTTCCGGATTTTCCGGAAGATTTAATTTTCATATTTAAAGTGGTAGCAATACTCAGGTTATTCCAATTAACTTTTTGAATTATAATGATAATTATAAATGAGTTTGACCACCACTACATATAAATAATTATAATAAATATATCAAAGCATAATAATCCTTGCCCAAGCGAATTTCCACGGGATCAAAATATAAATATATTTTTGAGTCAGATTGTTTATCGTTTATTGTTTTACAACCACTCTGAAAATCCATTCTCGGAAAGAGTGAAAGTTAGCAGGTATGATACATATATTTTCGTTAGACTTTTGATAGCATCTTAGATATTTTTGCATCTCTGATTTCAAATCTACAATTAGTTTCTCTCTAGAATCCACAATTTAATCAATTCAATAATATATTCTTAACCAGGATTTTATAGATTTCACTCGAGGTACTACTAAGTGTCCCCGCTTCTCTGCTACGTAGGAAGTGCTGGGAAGAAGGCGATTATACTATTTGAGTTTATGATGCGATTCGTTAAGTTCATATGCTTTAAGAGAGCAAGTGTATAAACCCACACGTTCTTTTTAAACTAGTACATTCAGACCAAAATAAAGCAAACGAAAATACAAGTTTGAAAAAAACTGTAGCTTTCCGAACAAAACTAATTTCGTATTTAAAATCCCCAGATAAGTTCAAGTACTTGTATAAGAGCAAAATAAACCAGAGCAAATTTTAAGTGAGAGTTTTAGGTGCTGATTGCTGGGAAAAAAGAGCAGTTACATAAATAATTTTACAAATAACGAAAATGGGTGAAAAATAATTGAATGTTACATATTCCATTGAGAGCAAGCAATAATTTCAAATACTCGAAAGATAATTCTTATCGTGCGCAAGAATTCTTAACCTGTATTTATAAATCTATTTTCCTGCATATTTTCGCAATAACCAGAGTTGTGGTGTTCCAATCCAATTTTCAACCATTTGAAAACTCTGAAACGATGAATTTTTTCATTTATTTGTTTTTTTATCTATTTTTATATTTATCTTTGTCTAAAAATAATAGATGGGAATTTTCTAACGTATGAAATAATATCTGAACGTGAAATTTTATACAGCACACAACACAAAGTACGTGTTAAGAATCAGTATCATTTCAGAAAACACCTTTATAGTATGGGACTTTTCTGGTTGTTTAAGAATATTCTCGATTTTTAACTGAAATTTGTAAGGGAAAATAATTACAATTGGAATAGAAAATTTCAAATAAATACCATAAATTTGTGTTACTAAATCAGAATAACGATTTAAATACCAAATACCAGGAATTCATACCTTGAAATCTTTAACGTAATGCATTCTTTGATAATATGCAAAATTATTCCTTGGAGAGAAACTTAATTAGACCAGAAATACTTCAACTGCTTAAAATACTTGATTGCTTCAAGCCATAACTAATTAAATTTAATCAAACCAGACACAATCAATCTTAGTTAGAAAATGCTTCTTTCTCACAAACTGCCAAAGAAATCACCCAAACTACTTTGAGACAAATAATTAATACATTAAGCCCGAAAATATTAGTTTCTTGAAAGGGGAAATTATTGCTGGAGGGGCTGAGATAAAAGGATTAGATACATTACCTGTCGTATTTCTCCTTCCAGAAACATGCGGCTTCTCGAAGTGTTTCGCTTTCTCTTGCGCTTGCTGGATGGTTTCTGGTAGATGGATCCAGAGGATGATGACGACAGCTTTCCACCGTGTAACCTTTCAAATACGGGCACCTCATTGGCAGGCTGTAAGGCACACGAGAGAGATAACACCTTTTGTCAACAAACTTTTATTGTAAATATTTGAAGAAAGAAATTAGAGTTAGATAGGATTGCATTAGAATCGAATTATTAGAAAAATTTCTTAGATGAAGCTGCTTGTGTAATTAATAAGAGATTAGATTTATTTTAGTTTGAAAGTAACAGCAAGATTCTTGAAATGGAAGCAGTTTTAAAGAATAGCTAAAAAGTTGATTGTGGCCAGTTAAAAGTCTTCTCGCTTTTCTTAATAACTTTTCTTGGCAGAGGGTAAAGACATTCTTGCCTTCTTTTACTCTCAACGAGAATGGATTTTCCAAATGATAACAGAGATGCCAACTGCTCCTGACACGGCAAGTAATTAAAAAAATCGGTAAATAACTACAAACTAAATTTTGCAATCATTTGATTAATTTTGCTTCCTTTTTTTATAGGTATAGCATGACTTAACTACAAAAGTGGTAAATTATATAAGCCTACGAATTACTTAGAAATAGTGGTGGATAAAAACTACTAAATTGAATGTATTAAACCAAGAATTACAATTGATAAACTACCACTTTAAAATATATATTTGCTGTCCGGAGCAAGTTGGCATCTCTGTCATAGTACAACATGTAAAGTATTCAGATTGCAAAAGGTTAAAGTTGAATGGAATGGATATTAACACTAGATTTACGGGACGCGTCATTTTGACGCATTTCGAGTTTTGTAAGGAAAATTACAAAACCTGTTTGAATTTTTATTTTATCTCTTGTAATGACTTTTATTAATTTATCGAGGTAAGTATATATTGAAGTCTATTTTCTTCAAAAGCGTAGAAATATTGAAATTCTCTTTGTGGTATACCTATGTCTACGGATATGCGTCAATTTGACGCGATCGTAATTTAGACAAAATCTTGAGTAAACATGCAAGCATTAAATCTATAACAAATAGGAATGCACCGACAATACTTTGATCCGTTATCCGATATCATTATCTCAAATGAAACAAGCGATAAACAACTGTTACCGATAAGCAATTATAGAAAGAACAAACGCAAAATGCCAGTGAATAACCACTAAGTAAATTTAGCAAATGTAAGTGGCAAATTATACAATCCTACAAATTATTTAGAAATAGTGGTGGTTAAAAATCTACTAAATTGAATTTATTAAATAGTATTCGTTCAATTCAAGTTATTACGTCATAGCCTTATCTTGGGTAATCACACGAATAAACTGTAATGTGTATTAGCGAACATCTTTTCAACTGTATAAAGGGAAATTTCAGATCATTAATTCGCAACTTTTGTAAATTGTAAACTGGAGAGCATCTATTCATCTGTTTAAATTCAGCTCTTTACGTCAAAGCCCTATCTCTTGTTACCACTTGTCTAAACTGAAAAATGTATTGGAGATCATCTTTTCATCGGTATAAAGAAAATTTTAGCTCATCATGTTATAACTTTTGTAAATATTAATACCCGGATGCCCCTTTTGGGGGCGGGACGGGGTTTAGCAATAAATATGTATTCGTTCATGCATCAAATTGACGCGTGTTCGTAGAGATAGGTATATTGTTTATTCGTATCTCGACCCGTTCTATTCAAGGGCACACGAGAGTAGAACATACATTCTACATACAAAACATACATAAAATACAAATAATTACATCAACAAGCAGTATAAATGGCCTACAAAATATAAAGTGTAATGAAAATTTGGAAAAAAACAAATGAGAAGTTTACACAATAATAGAACATTAGGTATTGGAGGAACAATGCATTGGGAATATCAAAGATTGTATAAGACAATGGCATAAGAAATCAGTTTAGTGATCAATGTTGAAATATTTTGAAACATGCCTAAAATGTGAAGAAGAAAAATAATAAGTTTTTCAGAGGTCTGAAAAGACGAAAAAAAGTTTTCAAAAGTCAGATCTTAGAGATAGGTATATTGTTTATTCATAACTCGACCTGCCCTATTTAAGGGCATACGAGTGTAGATTCATAAAACATATATTATACACACATAAAACATCAGAAATTATATAAAATCACAGAAACTTGAAATCACAGATGTCAGTGGCAACAGCCCGACAGAAAAAAATACAGCATTACAAGTAACAACACAAAAAAAGGAATAACCTCAATGACATCTGCCAAAACTGAGCCATTATAAAAAATAAATAAATAAATAGATTAAAATCCAATACGATCCCTTACGCAATTAAAAAAAAAAAGAATACAATACAAAAAATTTTAAATCTCAAGAAGGAACGATAAAAAAGGTCCCAAAGTTAAAAAGAAACATAATAACAACATACACTAATACAAAGGACTAAGTAGTTAAAAACATGACCTATAACCGGGCCAAGACAAATTTAAAAAAAACTATAATAAAAATTTAAAAACTCAAAGTCTAAAATTAGTAAATTTATAAAAATAAATAATAAAATAGTAAAACATGATACGGTTGAGACACCCAAATTAGAGGCCGTGGATTCTGAATTATTATTAGACTTCCTCTAGAATATCCTCCAATGTTTGTTTAATGATGGATTTAATTATACCCCTGCAGGTCGAGCTTGAAAAGCATTGAACTTGATCTAAATTTTGAAAATGATTTCCACGGAGTGTTCGGAATCTTGGGCAATGCAAAATCAAGTGATCAACATTTTGAAATTCACCACAATAATTGCATGCCGGGGATTTGTTAAAGAGTCTACTTTGATGGTCACCGAACACTCCATGGCCCGTTAAAAATTGGTTAAAATAGAAGTTT